TTTATGGTTTTGAATTTTTTAAACAAAATGAATTTGAAATTAGTATTACCAATGAGACTGTCTCTAAATTATTATTTTTTTATGAAATATAATCTCCTAATTTAAAATTATGTTATATGTTTCACAATAGTATATGAATCGAGAAATTATTCACTCTTTAAATATATAATAGATACATAAGTTTTTGTTTAATACAAATAACTCTATTATATCAATTAATTAGAGCATTATTTTTATTTTATATGAATGAAAAAATATTGAATAAATAATTAGTTAAAAGATAAAATATATTACTTGATTGAGTGAATAATCCGTGAAAAAATAGAAGGTCCGCAAACAACATCAATAAAAATGTAAAAATATATGTATTTTTGTAGTTTAAAAAATATTACAATTGATTTTTTTTAAAATTACCCAATAAAATGAATAGTACGTTTAGTGAAATAATACCTTATAATGAATAGTATTTTTAGTAAAATAAAACATATCATAAAAAAAAAGTATGTTAATTCTTATAATAAAAATAGATTAATAAAAAAAGAGATTAAATTAATGATAAAAAAATACGTTTAATTCAATGGCACATTGTGAAAGCTATATAACTAAAAACTACTAACAATGAGGGCTTTCTTGAAGTTGTTATAGTATTTATATTTTTTCAACATTTTTTTGCAATATATTTAAAAGCTAAAGATAATCTAAAGATTATTTATAAAATTAAAGATATTAAATAATATTTTTAAAAGTTGTGATAAATTTAAATATTCATATCAACTGTAGATAATTAAAAAAGATAAATTACATTAAAATTAATTTTAAATTGAGATGAGGTGAAGTATAGGATAAATTTGTTTAAAGTTGCTTTGTTATTTATTTATATTTTTTCACATTTTTTTATAAAATATATTTAAAAGCTGAATATAATGTAAAGATTATTTATAAAAAAATATTAACGATATTAAATAATATTTTTAAGAGTCGTGAAAATTTTAAATGCTTGTGTTAACTGTAGATAAATGAAAAAAATAAATTATTTTAAAATTAATTTTAAATCGAGATGAGGTGATATATAGGAGAAATTTTTTTGTAGTTGTTCTGGTATTTATATATATTTTTTACATTTACTTTGTAAAATATATTTAAAAGTTGAAGATAATATAATGATTATTTATAAAAAATATTAAAGATATTAAATAATATTTTAAAAAATAATGATAAATTTAAATACTAACTTCAGATAAATTTTAAAAAATATTTTGAAATTAATTTTAAATTAAGATAAGATGACGTACAGAAAAATAAATTTCATTCAAATTTAAATTGATTTTTGATTAAATTTTAAAATTATAGATAATTTAATAATTTTAAAAATATTTTTTATAAATAATTTAAAATTAATAAATATTTTATGTGTCATCGTAATAAAAAATTTTATGAATTATCTTATATATAAAAAAAATTATTCATATAAATATTCATGTAATAATTACTATTTAATAATTATGTATGTTATAATATATATATATATATATATATATATATTTGATTAGTTGGAAAAGTTTGGCAGGCTTTTTTGGTGTAGGTAATTGAGGTGAGGGGTGGACCAATTTTGTAGATGCTTAAATCTGCGTCATTATTAATCATCACCACTTTGTTGAAACTAATGCAAATGCAGTTTCATTTGCTTTGCTGCAAAAGGCAATAGAAGCATTAAGGATCCATCACTTTGATGGATTTGGCAAGAGGCCCCCCTTAGAATCACTTTTTCTTTTCTTTGCTTTTCTACTACAACCTAACGGGATCCAAGGAGAACAAAACGATAACTTCAAGGGGACTATGATAATAATAATTCGGATTATTATTAAATTTGTTATATGTTTGATATAAAATAAATATGATATAAATTATTAAATTAATATTAAATTTTTTTAATTAAAAAAATTTAATATAATATATTTTTAATTATACAAATGTATGCAATACGAAATTAATGTATAAGATCAACATACTGAAAAGAGACTAATTATCATAAGATGAATATAAAAATGTATCAAGAATTTTTAATGAATGATGAGTGCTAACATATTGAACATACTGTGATATACGTGCCTTGTCGTTGGCAGTTATCAGTTGTCATTAGGAGTGTAATCGAGTCGATATAATGAAAAGTTCAAACTCGAGTTTAATTCATAACTCGCGGTTCGATACTCAACTCGAACTCAATCGAATTTTATTTTTTAAATTCAAGCTCGATTTGTGATCGAATTCGAGCTACTCGAATTCGTTTGATTAAGCTCAATTAATATGTAAAAATAAGATCGATTCGTATATTCGATAAGAGTTTGATTATTTATGCTCGAGCTCGAATTCGAATTTGAAATATTTTATTAATTAAAATAATAAAAATATAATTAAATATGAAAGTTCGATTAAGTTCGTAAGCTACTCGAATCGGATATAAAAATACTTAAATTTGACTCAATCGATAAGTCGAATTACGCGAGTTCGAGTTCAACTCGATAATAATCGAACTGAATTTAAATTTTTTTCGAATTGAATCCGAATAACTTATAAATACTAATATATCATTTACATTCTTAATTATCATTATCAATTTTATATGTATCCTTTGCAGCCATTTTCTCTCTCTTTTTTTTCGCTTTATCTTGCTTGAATTAATTCATTGAGCCAGACTTCTCCCTCACGACTTACCACAGTGGAGAAAATTATTATAGCTTTCAGAGCATTTGTACGTGTTGAGATGATATGGACCGCCGTATACATTGACCTTACCCAAGAATTCTTCTTAAAGAAATATATAGTATAGTACTGGTACTGTATAATATAAAAAAAATTTGGGGTAACCATCCATTTATATTGACAATAGATGATGGGATAAGCATCAAATGGTCCGATAATTTAGATTTAGATGCAACAGATATTAAAAAGGGGTCAAACAATATATATAGTACCATATTTTGTATAATTATCTCTAATTGTGATTCAAGCTTAATTTTGACTGGCTCAATCTCACATATATACTGTTCAATCTCTTTGTTGATAATCAATAATGAATATCAAGAATTAAAAATATCATTAAATACCAATATTGTCTTGCACAAAGGTGATTTGAAAATGTTTTTCTTCTTTTAATTTTTGTTTTTTAATTGCAAAGAACAGTACTAATTAAAACAATGGGCTCAACTAATATAGTTATTACTATAAGATATTTGTTCTTGGGTTTTTGCTGCAAGTTTATCGGATTATTTTAAAAAAAAAGTTGCAAATTGGGATAAGAAAAAAAAATGTAAGTGTTAAATTTTAAATTTAAAATTTATTGAGTGACAATTCTTAAAAATAATTAAATAAAACAATAAAATTAAACCTTGAATTCATATCAGATTTTTTTAATACAATTATAGGCATGCTAGATTAAAAGAGGGTTATAATTTAATCTCTACCTAATTAATTAAAGTTAGGTATAAAAAGGAAATCTAATTCAATATTTTTTCTTGAATTGATATGAGTCTCATAGCTCTTAACTTTTAGCCATTAATCTAATACATGTCCTTTTTATCTACTAATTGGTAAATTATTTTGTGTTTAGATTAAAATTTTCAAATAGTTTCTTAATTAACATGTGCTGAAGTGTTATAAGAACGCTCTTTAAAATTGTTATGTTATTTTTTTCAATACACCGAAAATCTTACATTAACTATCACTTATTGCATTTAAAACAAAAAATATTACCATAAGAAAATATTAACTAATACTAAACTTCACTTGAAAAAAAAAAATCTTTAATATTTTATTGTAAGAAATTAATATTACAAATTTTTATTTCATTATAATTAAAATATTAAATGCATAAAATATTTAATTATTTGTTTAATTTATAAAATATTATTCATCTAATTTTAAAAATTAGAATATAATTAAAATAAAATAAAAATCTATAATCTTAATTTAATGTAATAAAAATAAAAACTTATTTATATTTATAATAAATTCTAAAATTTATTTAGATATTAAACCCGATAGGCAGGAAGTGACCACAACGAAGAGTAATTATGCAGGTTAGAACTCCCTAGAAGTGGCGCTGTGTGTAAAATCTTGTTGTCGTTGCCACTTGCCAAATCGACCCCACAAGCTTCGAATTTCAATGCCCTCGTGCCATCCACGTCGCTCTAATAAAATAACACTGTTTTATCTCCAAACGCTCAATTAATGCCGTGTCATTCGTTCATTCACCGTTAAACCCACTGACAAAAAATAAAAAATAAAAATGAGAAAAGGAAGAAAGTTTTCTCATTAACTCATCGATTCATCACCAATTTCGAATCATCCTCGGCCGGCCGGTCCTCCATCATAGGATTCTTTGGATGAAAAAAGAAAATAAACCGGTTGCAATTATAATCACTAGAGTCCCTCGATGCTGGTTGTAACGGCAAAAATGAAAAAAGAAAGAAAAAAACTGGGCCAACAAAATCTCCAAGCTCTTATTTGCCAACTCACCTTATCTCCTTTCACCGACACGCGCTAATCCGGATTTCACGTGAGAAGTTGGGCATTTGAACTTCCATTCTCAACCGTCGATGTAGAAGACTCATCAACTCGCAATCGTTTCGAGTACGCAAAGAGCTAAAACTCGCTTTTTCCAAACGAACACGTGGCTGTCCGAGAAATTGTCATTCGATTTCTTTTTTTCCTTTTTGACGACTCCATTGCGAATCTACCGATGGGAAAGGAATAATGGGATGGAAAAGCAAATTTTTTTTTTAAAAAGAAAACCAATGGCGATGCTCTGCACGTATCAGTCACGAGCGTGGCAGAGGCTGTCCCGCGTGCAACTATTCAAGGGAAGGTCCGTACAATAAAGACAAATTATACTCGGAAAAAAATCTAAAAAGACAGATTATACAAAAATTAAAAGTATTTAAATCATATTATCACAAATATATATTTTCTTATAAAGCAATCAAGTGTAAACAAAATTATCTGTAAATTGTATCGGAAAAAAAGACCAGAACTAGAAGGCCAAAGAGAGGATAGATAGAGTAGGGGAGGCACGCTTTCCTACGCTCTCCGGGGTGCAAGTGTTAATTGCAAGTTGCAAAACCATAGGAAGGAGTTGGACCCATCATAGGTCGGGGCAGCCAAAGTAACTGGCCTCCACTTTTATTTTAATCTATTTGTTTTTCCTTTATCTTTCTTTCTCTACTGTCGGTAAGTCACGAGCCTCTACCGTCCATTGAGAGAAGGGAAAAAAAAAAGAAAGAATGCAGACCGTGTGGATTTCTACATCAATTAAAATCGCCTTTGACATTGTCCAAAGTCAACTCCAAAACCAGACCCGGTTTTCAATGTCGGAAGCTGAGTAAATCACAAAGTTAGAGAGAGAAAAAGGACAAGATAAGGCTTTGAGATGCCCAATTTGTCAACCAAAAATACCACAGCTTTTTCCTTTTTCCTTCTTTATATATAATTGCGAAACCCGACTCAAATGCAACCCCCCAGCATTTTCTTCTTTTTTTTCCTGTTCTCTTTACAACAACTAAAAAGTCAGCGCCTTGTTTTGTCTTCTTCTTTCTCTCTTTTCTAACAGTTTCTTGCCAGAGGGGAGTCAGCTGCAGATTCAGAAGAGGCACTTTTGTTTTTTGAGTTTTGCCTTAGAAGTAGAGAGAAGAAGATACAAGGCTCATGGATGTTGATTGGGATTTGCATGCGGTGGTGAGGGGCTGCGCCACTGTTACAGCGTCCAGCAGCGGTGGTGTTGCAACCAGTTCTTTCATGGCGGAGTTGTGCCCTCAGTCTTGTTTTTCTTCGTTTGGTAGTCAAAAAGCTTTTCAGGGTCAAGTTTTTTCATTTCCGAATCAGTTTGAAGATAGAAAATCTATGGAAGAACTGCATGAGCTTTACAAGCCTTTCTTCCCCAAATCTCAGCCTTCTTCCCCACAGAGCATGCCTTTATCTTCACTTTCTTCTCTTGGCTTGTCCAAAGATCAAGCACAGATTAAACAACAACAGCCTAAGCAGTCTGTTACTAGCGCTGCTAAAACAGCTAGTAGTAATTCCACAACTGCAAATTCTTATAATTCTCGATCTAAAAGAAGGTAAATTTTAGCATCACTGTATTTAAAAGTACTTGTTTTCAAAGAACCAGCTAAAAAGGGTTTGCCAAAATTGTCTCTGTTATTGATTATATTGAAATTTTGTACTTTCCTTTTAACAGAAAGAACCAGCTAAAAAGGGTTTGCGAGGTTCCAGCAGAAGGTCTCTCTTCAGATGTATGGGCATGGAGAAAATATGGTCAGAAACCCATCAAAGGTTCCCCTTATCCAAGGTAAAATCTTTTATAAAAAATTGGAGAAAATCATGTGTATTTGTCTCTTTGCATGTTGGATTATAATAAGTTTGGTTTTTGTTTGGATATTCGATTAAAGCTTTGGTTGTCTGTTTCTTTGAATAACAGGGGCTATTACAGATGTAGCAGCTCTAAGGGCTGTTTGGCCCGGAAACAAGTGGAACGAAACAGATCCGACCCGTCTATGTTCATAGTCACATACACAGCTGAACACAACCACCCTGCTCCCACGCACCGGAATTCACTCGCTGGCAGCACCCGCCAGAAGCCTTTCACTCCACAAACAGTCACTGTCGGCGACTCCACCAAACCCTCCTCATCCAAACCTGCGAACAGCTCGTCTCCAACTACCTCAGTTGATGAAGAGCTTGTAGTTCAAAGTACAAAGATGGAGAGCAGAGAGGATTTGGCTGAAGATGAAGGGGAAGAAGATTTTGGGATGTCAGACACGGCGGTCAGTGATGATTTCTTCGAGGGTTTAGAAGGACTCTCTGACATGCTCACCGGAAATTGCTTTTCTGATAATTTTCCGGCAACTTTTGACCTTCCTTGGATTGTTAACAATGCAGCTACTGCCGCTGGTGGCATCTAAAACTCGCCCGGAGAATTGTTTTCATGGCTTTATATGTTTTTTCCCTTTTATTTCTTGTATATGTCATACACTTTAAAAGGTAGAGGGGAATTCAATTGGCTTATTCCCTTTTGGTAGAATGCAAGTTACGATTCCATAACGATCTGAGGTAAGGTTAGTGACAGAGCTAGGTGAAGTTTTAGCTTTTAGACATCCTTTTTATTTTCCTAGAATTTACGGTTTTTTTTGTCATTTCGGATACAACTAAAGTGTAATCGGTAATTGATTTATCAGTATCTTTGTTTAACTTTCTTGTATGTATTCTTGATTTTTAATTTGATTATTGTATTTAATTGTATTGACTTAGACAAGAAAGATTAATGACAGGGAGTGTTGACATATGGGCAACAGCATCTGTATTGTTACTGCTAGTAAGGTATATGCCTGACTGCCGTCTGATCATAATAATGGCAATGGTATTTACTGAGTGGGTTTTGGGCGTCTTCGGTTTCTCATTCAAACTTTTAAAAAGAGAGAGAGAGAGAGAAAGAATTTTATGTGCTCTTTGGTTTCTCAGTTGCAATTTGCAGATAACTTTGTATTACATTTGGGAATGAGAGAGAAGAGACTAACAGTTCATGATTTTTTAAGGTTTTTCAAATAGAATATTCAGTAGGAAAGAACTTTACAGATGAATAATACACGGTGATGATCCCTGATTTGGGCAAACCATAATTATAGCCCGAAAAGGAGAGAATGAGAAACCAGTTAGGTGCCAAAACACAGAACTGTGTTCAAAGTCTGACTTCCTGATCTCATCTCTCTACTCACTAGTGAACTATTGTGCATAGCAAACTGTTTGATAGGCGAAATTCTGACAAACCAGTTCTAAATGAATTATTAATAAATCTCTATTATTCTCAAAATTTTCAATGGTAGATGGCAGAATGCAAAATTAAGAGCCGCACCGGCAACGTGCAGTGGGAGTATGTAAGCCTCCCCGTTTGGTTGTTTCAGAACGAGTCCATGAGGAGTCTGCCACGAACCAGCGATGGATAATTGCAGTGTCAAGCGGCTCATAGAACTACAACTGCAGGTGAAGGTCTGCTGCCATTGTAGCCTGAACAAAAATAAGTAGGCAGCAAAAACAAAGCAATTTTCTGACCTCTTCCGAGCCCTGACAATGGCCAATTCATTACATCAAGTCACAAAAATAATCCAGTAACACATCCTCATCTTGCAGCCATTCTATGAAGTAAAGGTAGAAACCTTGTATCCTTGTACGAAGCTTTTTAATTTTCCTGATTCACCAACAGCAGAAAGCCATTCAGTGAGAATCTCCACGGTTATATAGTCTGGATTGCAAGCATGCTCAATCATACAGTCCATCAATCTAAAGGCATCTTCCAACAAATTGTTCTCTTTAAGGCCCTTAAACATTGCATTGTATGTGGTGGTATTAGGCTTCACCCCCTTTGCTTTCATATCATCCATCAGAGAGAGCGCATCTTTGACGTTATTATTCTTGCACAGAGATTCTATAAGAATGTTGTATGTTATGGTGTTCGGTGAAATCTTTGATATTGAACTCATGTCATTGAAAAGCTTCAAGGCTTCCTTAATTTTTCCATTTAAGCAGTATGCATGTATAAGAGCTCCATATGTGGGAATAGTAGGGACAAGACCTTCCTTAGTCATGTGTTTCATCACCCTACAAGCAAGTGCAAAATCCCCAGTTTTGCAAAAATAAGCGATCAAAGTGTTATACGAGACACTATTAGGATTCATTCCTGCCTCCTCCATTTCCTTGATGATTTCATAAGCTTTCCCTACCTTGTTCTTGTTGCAGAACCCACTGAGAAGAGCATTGTAGCAGACAATGTCAGGGTGGAACCCCGCTTCCTTCAACTTTGACAAAACATTGCTAGCATCATCCATCCTTCCAGCTTTGCATAAAGCAGAGATCAAGTTATAGTAAACAACGGCATCTGGAGGGCATCCACTTCTCAACATTTGATCAAACAGATCAACCGCCTCAATGATGTTGTCAACATTACAGAAAGCAATAATTAGAGTGGTGTAAGTAACCGCATTGCCCTTCAGTCCTTTTCCCTGCATATCAATGAAGAACTCAACTGCACTATTAATCCTCCCATGTCTGCACATACCATCCACCAATGTATTAAGAGTGATTACATTAGGTGAAACCCCCTCCTCGTTCATCTGATCAAACAACGCCTTCCCTCTCTCAATTTCTCCAACTTTACAAAACCCAGCAATCAAGCAATTATAAGTAACTGTATGAGGTTCCAACCCCTTCATGGACCTCATCCTTTCCATCAAATGCAACCCTTCTTCTTGCCTTCCTTGTTTACAAAGTCCATTGATCACAGTATTAAAAATAATAATATCAGCTTCAACTGAAACACCATCACTCCCGCTTCCTTCACCCATATTTTTTAACACCTCCATCGCGTCATCAACCTTACCTAACTTACATAACTGATTAATAAGAATCCCAAAAGTTACAACATCGGGCTGAATATCACTCTCCCTCATCACAGCTAAAACCGTACTCATTCTTTTAGCATCTCCATTCTTCCCTAACCCTGTCAAAAGTACATTGAAAGGAGGAGTTTCAAGAGGCGCACGCAGTCTCAACAGTTCACGCAAAACATCCCAAGCTTGATTGAGTTTCCCACTCCCACATAACCTAGAAATTAATTGGGTCAGCCAATTTGTCTTTGGAAAAACACTACATTTCCCAAATTTTAGAACCAACTTAATGATTTCTTCCACGCTTAAGCTTGTCCCTTTCCTGTCTCCCTTCACCAACCCATAAAATATAATATCCCCAGTAATGTCATCAGGCGGAACCTCGGATAAAGGTTGAAGCATTTCATCGAGCACATTGAGTGCGTATTCAACACGCCCATCTCTTAACAAAACTTCAATCAAAACATTGCGAACGTGCGTGCTTTTAAGAGAAGGATCGAGTTCGTTAAAAACAATAACAGATTTATCCACCATGTTGAGTCTCCCAAAATACTGAATAAAAAGCGTGGCGGTGTTAACAGTTGGAGGAATTTCCCATTCTTTCGAAGCTTGATACAGTTCGGATAACCGGGATCCCGCTTCGACTTCTCGACCGGCTTGTTCGACAAGGGCTTGAAATGGATAAGAGAGGAATTGGGTGTTTTCAAATGGGAAGTTTTGTTGAAGGTGTTTGAAGAAATTGAGGGCTTGACGATAGGAAGCAATGCTGCAAGTAATTTTGGAGAGAAAGCTAGGAGATGGAGAAGGAGAAGAGAAGAGGATAGATCGCAAGGGTTGAGAGGAGGACCATTCTTGGTGTGGGGTCTCGATGATAAGTTGAACTGCTTGGGTGATTTTAGACTCATCGTCTTGCGCTGGCGGTGGAGGTGGTCGGGGGTCAGGTTCTGTGCAGAGGTGACCGTTGTGGAGGTAGTATGCCGGTTGGGGTTTAAGGAGGCGGAGGAGTTTTGAGTTGTTTGAAACGGGACATTTAGCGTTCATTTTTTTTTGTGGGAAGTTGGAGGGGTTTGTCTTCGTTGTCGTTCGAAACCTCGGTTGTAGACGTTTGTTTGTTTTTCTCTTTTAACAAAACTAAATACTCAATTTAGTTTAAAAAAAATAGATTTTTTTATTTCATAATTAAAAATTAATTTGAATTAAATTAAAATATTTAATATTTAAATTAAATTAAATAAAAAATTAATTCGAATATAACATTACTTTATTTTGGACACTAATTTTAAGATTAGCATATGCATGTGCAACAAAAAAAAAAAAATCTAATTCATACAAGTTACATTTGATATAAATTTAAATTTGATCTTTAATTGTTTTAATGAAGTAAAATAAATCTAATGTTTGGTTTAACTGTTTCTTTGATAATACAATTAATACTTATTAAAAAAGAATTTTTAATTTTCTTTATATCAATATTAAGTCAATTTATAGTAATTTACAATATCTATTGGTAATTAAGTTTTTGACAATAAGCTTTTTATCTATATTACAAACTCACATAATGAAAATAAAAATGCCTATCAAAATCTTTACTTAAAAATGAAAAAAAAAGAAAATCTAAAATATATATATATATATATAAACACACATAGATAATTTTTTATTTTTAACGATAAGTAAGATAGTTTTTTTTAAAAGAGTATAATAATTTCTTTAATCATAAATTAGATAATCATAAATTTATTTAAATATTAAAATTATTCTAATTATAATTAAAAATTAAATTAAACTGAATATATGTTTTTAAAATTAAAAGTTTGAATTATGAATTTTATTTTCATACTAAATATTTTAGTTATTTACCAAATAATTTTAATTAAAATTCATCATGTTTAAAATTTTAAAAATTAAATTTATCCAAATATTTCAACAACCATTTTTAAATAAAAAAATTATCATTTTAAAAATTTATTTAAGATATTAAAAATTCAAACAAATTTTCATATTAAATATTTAAATAATAAGACCATCAAAATAATTATATATATTTTAATTTTAATTATCAAATTTATATTTTAAATATATGTAAAAAAATATAATTTCATCTTTATCATTTATTATATCGCTTTTAAATTTAAAAAAATTAATTTAAAAATTATCTAGTTAATTTTAATTACCACTCAAGAGTTCTTTTACAAATATAAGACTATAAACGTATTGTTTTATATATATTTTTTATTGTTTACATTTGCAATTTTTTTTAATGTGTACTCTATTATTATTGTAATTTATTTTTTTGTTTATAACCTTTTTTCTTACGATATATTTTGTTATTATTGTAATTTCGTTCTAATGAAAAATAGTTTTTTAATTTATTTTTTTTATTTTCACATATTTATAGATATTTTTAATATTTTACACAATAATTTGATAAAAATTACAAAATAAATATGTTAATATTTTTATTATTTAATTCATCATTAAATAACATACATGTTTTTTTTTAAAAGAAGACATAATTTATTTTTATTTAATATACTATTATAAATCTATAAATATTACTATAAATAAAAATGATCAAAGGAAAAGTATGTCATTTTTTTGCTTTTTTAAAAAAATTATTTTTTATAACAAATTGGTATATATAAATTTTGAAGATTTAAATTTAATTTTAAAAAAATTACTTTTTATATATCTATATAAAATTATTCGGTCAAGAATCGGAATGTAACTTTTTATATAAAATGATTATCTACGCCCCTTTGTAAACTTTGAGTCGAGTTTATATAAAAAACGTTAATATCCGGAAATGATCTTCAAAATTATCCGCATCGAACGACTGAAATCAAGTTAATCATCTAATCTCCAAAACAGCATGGTCAAAGTCAAATCCATGTGTTCTTCCCCTTCAGTTAAAAGTTCTATATCGAAGATTTTACTGTTCCAAAAATGTTGGCAACTCACGCGCCACCTTCCTTGATAAAGCCGCTTGTCTTCTTTAACTTTTCTTCTTCATTGTCTACTCTCTCTGCGATTCTTTCACCAATCCCACCTGCCAGGCTTCTCCGCTTTCGTGCTCGTCTGACCTCACTCCGTGCTCTCATCATCATGTCTGGGGCAAAATCCGTCGCCACTGACTACTCATCGCCGGAACACGTTGCCGGGAACTGGTATTCGGTGCCGGACCTCCGACTCCGAGACCACCGATTTATGGTCCCTCTCGATTATAAAAGTCGTGAAACTTCTTCTAAGATCTCCATTTTCGCTCGTGAAGTCGTTGCCGGTAATCCTACTTCTTCCTTAAGCGAGATTAATTCAATCAACGCCTTAGGCATACTATTTTTGGTGGACAAATCCCTGTTTGATTAATAACTCTTTCATTTTCGTTTTTGAAAAAACCAAATGCTGGAAGTGCCAAAAGTCAAACTGACTAGTGTCTAATGCTGAATTGGATTTTAGTTGGGAAAGAAGAGCAGCCAATGCCATACCTTTTATATCTGCAAGGTGGGCCTGGTTTCGAGTGTCCTCGACCAACTGAAGCTAGTGGATGGATACTTAAAGCCTGCGAAGAGTTTCGGGTTATATTGATGGATCAGGCATGGTTTCTTTGAAAATGTTTACATTGAAATTCAGTGCCTGTTTATGCTTTGTATCCTTGATGTTTTCCTGTTTCTGTTGCAGCGAGGAACCGGTTTATCAACCCCTTTGACTCCATCATCTATGCAGCAAATAAAGTCTGCCCAGAATCTGGTTGATTACTTGAAACATTTTCGAGCTGATAATATTGTCAATGATGCTGAATTCATCCGTGTTCATATTGTTCCTAACGCTGGGCCTTGGACCGTTTTGGGTCAGGTATTACAGTTAGTATCTATTATTGATGTTCGTGCTTGTGCATCATACATCATTGAATTTCGCATATCACCATGCCGTTATCTTATCCCTTATTTTCTTGACCGTGTAGAGTTATGGTGGTTTTTGTGGAGTTACTTATCTGAGCTTTGCACCACAAGGATTGAAACAAGTGCTTTTAACCGGAGGGATACCTCCAATAGGAGATGGATGTACTGCAGATGCTGTATATAGAGCTTGCTTTGAACAGGTTACTCATCAGAATGAAAAATACTACAAGAGGTTTCCTCAGGACGTTGAAATTGTTCAAGATGTTGTTACTTATTTGGCAGAAGCTGAAGGAGGCGGGGTGAGGGTCTTCCTCATTTGATCTTGTTGTTCTACCTAAAGCTAAAATGGCACCTTGATCTTTTTAAAATTTCCTTATTGTGCAGGTCCATCTTCCTTCTGGGGGAATCCTAACCCCTAGGGGGCTGCAATTTCTTGGTTTATCTGGTTTAGGGTCCAGTGCAGGTTTTGAACGGCTGCATTATCTGTAAGACATCAGAATTCACACTCTATTTCCATTCTTTAGAATTTATGACTAAATGTTTTTCAACTGTGTCGTTATTGTACTTTTGATATTTCAAAAACTATAGGTTTGAGAGGGTCTGGGATCCGATGTTAGTTCCTGGAGCACCAAAGCAGATTAGTTCATACTTTTTAAATGCTGTAAGAAAAATTGATGTTTTCTTATTGATCACGAATTGAGGTTTTACTTCTATCCAATGGATCGATCATTCAATCTTAAGTCATTTGACATATGCAGTATGAGAGCTGGTTGTCTTTTGATACAAACCCACTTTATGCTATTCTCCATGAGTCAATATACTGCCAGGTAAACTTCCCTGTCTTCCAGATTGTTGCTTTTCTGGTTTTTTATCATGAGATATTTTGTAAAGTCAAACACTACCTCTGAAAAATGGATAAAAATGTGATTGCTGGTTAAACAAGCTTCGGCCATCAAAATATAAACAAGTCAGTAGGCTCTGCTTGAGGTCCAAATTGACATGTATTCAGACAGGCTAATATTTGTATCAATTATCATGTTCAAAACTTGATCATTTTTTAATTACATTTGTGTTCTGAAGGGTGCTTCATCACGTTGGTCTGCTCAGAGAGTAATGGCTGACCATGAGAGCAAATTTGATGCAATCAGGGCTGCAAATGAAAGACGTCCCATACTTTTTACTGGGGAGGTAATAATATTGTGCTTTATGGATGACTAGGACCACAAATATATATCCGAATATTTAAGTCTTTTGAGGAATAATTGGCCGGGTAACAATTGTTAGATTTTAAGTAAAGATCAATAACTTAAAACAAGCGGAGTGAGTCAAACTCTGTCTCTGAGAAAACTTGCTTACCTTTGTGATTTGGTCTCAAATAAGTGAAAAGCCCATCAACTTCTCAGAGACATAGGAGCTATTTATATGGTTTCCTAACACCTTCATCCTATTCCATAACAGCGGGAGACTTCATTGCTTATTTACTTGGACTCCCTCCTTTTCCTGACATCCCTGTCTTGAGAGGCAATGTTGGTCATTGTATGTACTGTTGATATATTCATTTAAATATTTGACCTATTTAAACGTGGTAGGCACATTGCCATCTATCTTGGTCAGTTTTAGGGGCTAGCACTGACATATTTGATGTCCCGAGTTATTTAGTAATCCACATAGCTGTTGAGGTAAATATAGTGTAAGTCTTTCTTATTTGTATATAATGCCAGGAATTGGAAACTTTTCTGAGTTGATGGATATGTTAAAATGGCACAACACGCATGGCATCACCTTACATTTTGAAGAACCATAGTGGTGATGATATTTTAAATTGAATGTTTATCTTGAAGGTGCATTCTCTTGATGGTAATGCAGACTTAGGCCTTTGGTACTTTTCAGGAGAGAGAGTTTCTCTATTATATTTATGGTCCAGACAATTTAAGCGTAATTGTGGAATACAAATCAATTTGCTTGGTCAAGTTCATCATATTAGGTCTCTTCCATGGTTTTTATCATGATGTTAAATTGCTAGTTGATACATGTGGTTTAAATTTATGCAGATGATATTCCCATGGATGTTTGATGAAATTCATTCTTTGAGGCCTTTCAAAGATGCTGCCCATTTATTGGCTGAGAAGGAAGATTGGCCTCCACTGTATGATGTCACTGCATTGAAAAATAACAAGGTGTGAAGATGATAGTGTTCACATTTTTTCCTTTCTGAAAACTTCACTCCAGATCAGGGTCTAGCGCTTTACTAATTTTCGAAACTGCTAGCAGGTACCGGTAGCAGCTGCTGTATATTACGAGGATATGTATGTTAATTTCAAGCTGGTCATGGAAACAGCTACTCAGATAGCAGGAATTAGGTTATGGATAACTAACGAATACATGCATTCTGGACTCCGGGATGGAGGTGGACAAGTTTTTGATCACTTGATGGGAATGATAAATGGAAAAAAGCCATTATTCTGATTTCTTTGTAGAGATAATTTTTCAGTGACGAAATTGTTCAGACACCCTTAGAATTCAGAATGAAGCCTGTGTATTATGAGCAACCAAAAGTGTTTGACACTGAGCTTGTATCTGCAACTTCGTATTTGATTGTTCGGTTTCCTTCATCATATATAAATAATCGTACCTTTGGATGTGATTTATGAGATATATCTTAAATTAATTTTTGTTGCAAAACAAGTGAATTTGATCAATTTCTGAATTTAAGTTCATGGTAGAAAACACTAGCGAGTTTTCTTAAGCTATAAAAAAGATTTCAGCAAAAAAAAGTACTGTATTAAGAAGCGTCAGGGTACTATCATCCTCAGCGTCCACTGGCTGTTCGGGAGATTTACCCAGCATGTGCTGAATAAAACCGAGAGATCTAGTTAATTCAGCCAAAACCAAATTGAGGATCAAAACTAAAAAAAAAAATAAAAAATCTCAACTTAATTATTTACCGCCATTGCCGGTGGCAGGTACGACACTCGTTTATTCTTTTCTTCCTCGCTATCACTCTGCGATTTCATCTTAGGGTTTAAGCGGGGCTTTTCATCATCTACTGTATTTCAATTCCTTCTGCTCTTACGTACGTATATATCTACGTATACCATCTCTATGACCTTTTTCACATATCTTTAAAATGAGTACTCTTTTCTCTTTGTAGGTCGAGAATGCGCAGATTGTTAACATCGCTGGTTCAACCACTCGCGGGAGATCGTGGGTTTTCCACGAGCTCCGACAAAATTGTGGCCTCCGTACTGTTCGAGTGATCACCAGTTGTTAATCCCAAAATTGATTCTGTGGTTTATGCATTTCAGGAGTTCTCGTAAGTTTTCCTTCTCTGCTCCTTGTTTGGGTTCCGAGAAAATGTGGGATGGTTCATGCTAGGATATCTTAGATTTCCAGTTCCTTGAAAAATATTGATTAGCAGACACTAATTTTAAACACAGATGGTAAGAGTAAAAAGTAAAAAGCTACAATATTTACTGAAAACGGTCTGATCCATGGCTTATTACTCGAAATTCTTATTCTTTTTCGTTCAAATTTTCAGCTATTAATTGATGAAAGAGATAAAAGGCGTGGAATTTTTGTATGCAATTGCATTTGTTTTATGCAGCTTCCGATGGGGGCAGCAGTATCGACGTAAATATCCTGATGAATTCTTGGACATGTCCAAATCTAGGCAAGTTTGGAATTTGATTCAGTTGTATTCCATATTATAGTAGGGGTGCTTCCTTGTATGTTTAGGTACTTTTTGATCCATATGTAAGTTGTTACTGGATAATAGTTCTTGATTTGATGCACCTGCATAAACTTTTTTCTTACATCCAAACCAAAAATAAGTAAATTAAAAAACACGAAAGCAGTTGATTTATCCAAATGAACCATGTGCCACACGTGATTTAGAGTTGTGAGTCCTCTGAACAGGTGATTCAGGAAAGGCAATGGAGTATTAAACGTAGCTTTCCCATTCAAGTTTAAAAACAGCCTCAAGGTTGATTCAAGATGTCTATTTTTGGCTCTGCAATGAGAGTCTTCATAGAACACAAAAATAATGAAAGTCATTGTTTTTTGGGTTATATGTGTTGTCCTCTTTCTCCTTTCTTTGCACGCTTAATGAATACATGCATACAACTGCAAATTTGCACATGCACATAGATGGTTTTGCTGTTTTGATTCTTAGCTAATGAAGTGAAAATTTTGTACAATCAGGGGAAAAGGTGAGTACCAAATTGACTATGTTCCAGCTCCAAGGATCACTGAAGCTGAAAAAATGAATGACAGAAAGTAAGTGGTAGATTTTAAATTATTCATTGGAACATTGTTACCTACAGGTCATCCTTTGTTTGATAGAGATAAGATATAGCTTGTCAAGGATTAACGATCTCTAGGAAGAAATATCTGAATTAGATCTCAAAGTGCTGTTCTCTTCTGTTTAATAGATCTGGCTCCTTGTTTGTATATGTGTTTCTTTGAGGAATATAAACATCATTCTTGAGAAAATGTCTATGTACTACAAATTTGAGAACACATTTCTGTTCTAAGTATTAAAACTGCTTCCCCTTGGAGATTGTGGCCTTTTGGGGATAGAGGATGAAATTAGTACAATATTCTGATCATGAAAAATTTGAACTTTCTATTTATTAAGGCCATTGCAGAGAGCACTTGATAGAAGACTGTATCTTCTTCTTCATAGTAACACTCTTGGAGCTCCTAGTGGGAAACCTGTGTGGCATTTTCCTGAAAAATTTTATGATTTGGAGGAGACATTATGCAAGGTAATGGTTGCTTTCTTTTATTATTTCCTTCTGCTTTTTTTTGGGTTACTCTCATATAAATACCAAATGTTTGCAGTGTGCAGAGTCTGCCTTAGAATCTGTAATTGGAGACCTTTCTCACACTTAATTCGTTGGAAATGCTCCTATGGGGCATATGGTTACACAGCAGACAGAGAATGTGCCTGAACCATATAAGGTATTTCATCAGAAACGCTTTTATTTTCTTCTTCACATACTTATGCTCGTCTTTGCTAGCCCTTCTAATTAACACCTTTCTCGTATTGACAACATAAATGCACTTCACTTGGAGTTCCTTCTAGAATATTTATTCCCCTACCTTATGCTTTTATTTTCTGTCAGAGATTCTTCTTCAAGTCTCAAGTGATTGAAACCAACAAGTTTAATATCGGGAAGTGCAAGGATTTCGTCTGGGTGACGAAGGATGAACTGTTGGAGTAATTTCCTGAACAATCTGAATTTCTTAAAAAGATGATCATCAGCTGAAGGCAAATTGCTCAGTATGATTTCCAAGCCATGCAATCTTTCTTGTAACCCATTTGTGGTTTAATTGTAATTTTGCAGCGGAGACTATGTCAGAAGTTCAAGCTGACATAAGACAGTAGAACATCTGAACACGAGACAATTGGGCGAAGATAATGAAGCTTATTGGTTCAGAATGGATTGAATAGTGCAAATTTTGAATTTCGTTTGTTGGTAATAATAAATGCATGAAATTTGTTAGTCCGATGATATAACAAAGCTTTTATTATTTCTCCTCTCTTTTCTGCTGCAATAATGGATTGTATCTAATTTACGTGTACCCTTTGTATGATAACCTACCCAAGTAACTTTGGGTTTTATGCTGCGATGATTGGCTGAACAATTCCTTTCTCTACCTTCCTAGATAGTGGGTAAATGTAGATGACTAGATCCTCCTATATTGCTCTCCTTAACTGGAGTGTAGAGAAAATGGTATTTTGTCAAGCACACGTGGGAAAGAGCGAATCTAAGAAGTCTGGCGGGTGACCTAAACAGGACTCTCCCTCCTTCCCCTGCCACGGGCACAATGGCTCGACTTAATAGAGGCACTTGGGCCTCATCAATAACTTATACTCGTTGACTTAAGGTCTCAAAGAAGCTCAGTTAATGGATAAAGCTCGAAATGTGTTTCTCTTCTTCGGTCCCCTATATAGGAGATTTGGTTCATCTGTTGCCCAAATAAAATCTTTGCCCAAGGATAACAAACAGAATTTCAAAAGGCTGACCCAAAACGATGGTTTCTTTAAAATGAAGAGCAAGCAAGTGACCTTATATTTTATTTAAAGAGTCTTCCTTTCATTTTTAGAACTTGAATGATATCATTGTTTTGACTGCCATCGACTGTCCAAAATTTCTGTAGAATTCGCTTCCCTATTAATGTAACCTTGCTACAATACCTTTAGAATTCAAGAAGCATTTCACTTACTAATTTTTATTATAATTTTATAATTATATAATTATAAACAAGATTTTGATATACTCAGCACAATTTTAAATTGTAATGAATTAATTGTAATATAATAATTATAATTGATATGTTGTTACGATTTAAGCGCAAAATAAAGATCCCAAGATGATGCAAGAAACCGTTTTACTATGAGAATGGATGTAAATGTAATTAATCACCTTGAATTTTCAATTTTTTCTCCCTTATGAACTTCATACACATCAAAAAGAAAAAGAACTATGTTCCTGCATTTGGTAGGTAAACAGTACAATATGGAACAAATAAAAATTTTTTTTCTTAGGATAAATGGAACGAACAAATTAACCATATCTGTAGCACATAATTTAAACATGTGTCCTAAAGAAATCATTTTTTAAGATGGCATGGAAAAAGAAAAAGAAATTAAATGGACTATTATAGTATCGCTGTCGCATATATGCATGCTTTGGTGATAACGATGCATGTTGGGTACGTCTCCTGTAATTACTTGAGGCGAGAGGCAGTTGAACCGAAGTGGGTGAGATGTTGTTGGCTTCACCAAGGGAGCAAGAGAAAGGGATTAAGACCTAGGAAAGACTTGGATGAAGTTCTCGTGAAGTTTTCCCTTTCCCTCTCTCTCAAACTCCATCAAACTAGTTCCCCACTTCTCTCTCTCTCTCTCTTGGATATCTCTCTTGTGGGGCAGTCCAACCTCTTCCACCTTCCATCACTTTCTTCTCCCTTTTAAACTTCATTATTTCTCAATCTTTTTTCCGTTCCACTCTCTCCTTATTCTATCAGTGCAGCCCTCAGAACCTTCATCATCAGATGGATATTGGCCAAGAAAGTACCCCAGCTCCACTCCTACCGCCTGCTGCGCCGGCCCTGTTGTCACCCCTTAACGCTCCTTTCCTCTTTGCACCCTCAGTTCCATCGTCCTCACTGCACCCTCCTTTGTTAGAAACTCAAGTTCTCCCCGATATTGATTGGGTTAGCCTCCTTTCCGGTCAAGGTGTGCTTGCTGAGAATAAGCCAATGATTGATAGTTCTTGTTTGATGGCTGAAAATGAAGGTGATCAGGATGAGAAAGGCAACAAGGATAAGAGGAAAGGGAGTAGGATCAAAAAGACAAGCCGGCCTAGGTTTGCGTTCCAAACCAGGAGTGCTGATGACATTTTGGACGATGGGTACAGGTGGAGAAAGTATGGACAAAAAGCTGTGAAAAATAGCATTTATCCAAGGTTTGTTAATACTTAATAATCATCAAAACCCCTGTTGTTTCTCTTTTATATATATATATATATATATGTTGCATGGCATGTTTGTTCATAACTCGATATTCTTAACCTTTGATGCATATTTGTTACGTAAATTTGCATAGAATAAAAAATTGTTACAATTCCCTCATCATGTCTTGTCCCCAACCCCAAAACATTTGAAATCGAATCATATATATGTAGTACTTCTTATATGTGCTTTCTTTTCTACATCGATTATCAAAAACTATTTTTATTTCTATGCTATATGTTAGAAATTTGTTTAAATGATTTTCTCTTTTATTTTCTACGATGACTTAAGGAGCTATTACCGGTGCACGCATCACACATGCAACGTGAAGAAACAGGTTCAAAGGCTCTCCAAAGACACCAGCATCGTGGTGACGACATATGAAGGAATTCACAACCATCCTTGTGAAAAGCTAATGGAAACCCTAACTCCTCTTCTTAAGCAAATGCAATTCCTTACTAGGTTTTAAGTTCATTCGGCTAATTAGTAGGTTCAAGAACAAACCAACAAGCCTTCTGTTATTGGCATATATATGTAATAGACTTTCCTTGTCCCATTTTATTTGCATATAAAATGTGGAGAGCAAAATCAATGTTAATATCATAAATGAACTCATGTTCTTATTTTATATATGTTTCTTCTGAGTCTAATGCTTGTTCATTTGATATTCACATGATCAGTTCCTAAAGGCTTGACCTTGAGATCAAACGATGATAACAAAAGAAACCAACAACAAAAATCTTGCTAATTTTCGTAAAATTAACACGTTTTTGGTGATGTAGGTTCCACTAGTTAGCCACAAAAAATAAGATAAGATGAGAAGACTGCATGCACATGAGCACGTGATAAGTACATGGCTGCAAATTAAAGTTTACCCCAAACTTTTAATTAAGTTTTCTTAATGCTAACCGTCGTCCATACATAATTAATTAAACTTTATAAAAAGATGAAGCTTTTCCTAACTTAAGCATGAATTGTATTACAATATTTGAGTAAAAAACAAATAAACAAAATTAAATATCTATGGACAACATGCAGTGTGATATTAGTCTTTTTCTACCTTTTCACATGCAGTTATTTTTGCTGTGATTTATGGTGAATATTATATAATATATAGTTCATTTTTTATACATTCACAGTTAAATTTTTTTATTTTCACAATTATCATTAAAAAGTTCTCACATGTTTTATTTTTAATTAATTTTGTAACTATTTTAAAATATATGTATATCATATTAATTTTATTTGTAAAATCTAAAAATTTTACTAATAATAAATGATATAATTGCTCATATATATCTGGTAAAAAGAGGAATCAGTCGTAAAAGCAGCATGAAAAAATCGCATTGAAATTTGAAAACGCTAATTCCCACATGAATCGCACAAAAGTAAATAGGTGCCCGGTGTGGGAAAAAGAAAAGAAGAGACAATGGCTGTAGTAGCACGGTAAAATTTTACTTCCGAAAAAAAGAAAAAACACTTTGCGTTACCCTTTTCGCCTATTGTCAACAATGCTTTGTCGAGTTCCTTTCGATTGCAAGTAATTTTGTGAATCCAGCTAGCAACCATCAATGGAGTAAAGCTTCTATATTAGTTCTTTGTGGTTGCTTAATATTTTCCTTTGCGTACATCTTCTGATTGATAAACGAATTCTTCAAGAAAATATGGAATTTCACAATTGCATTAATGGAAAGGAAATTTGACCTTCTAAATAAGAAATATCATTTTAGAAATGTATAGAAAATATAAACCGTGCATCAAAATAAATTTGTATCTGGAGAACTTTTCTTAATGGTGTTACTCTTGGAAAAGCTTGAAACGTTGAAAGAAATTCTTGATGGCTTCTCAATTTCCTATACATGTAAAGAAAGTTATAAAGAGTAAGAAAAAAAATGGAACCAAAATCACAGAGTTCGGAAAAACCACGACCCAACCCTACATGTCTATTCTGACGTGTCTCCATTAAATTGACCCACCAAGCAAATCTCAATTACACGTGGCACACCAGATGCCCTGTTCCTCCATATAAAAAACCGAACCAAATCCTATGACATCGAACCATCTTCAAATCTAAAATCTCTGAGTTTTTACGGAATGTCGCAGTTGGTGGACAAGGCGAAGAACTTTGTGGCGGAGAAGGTGGCCAACATAAAGAAGCCAGAGGCTACCGTTGCGGATGTTGATCTGAAACATGTGACCGGTGAGTGCATCGAATATGGCGCTAAAGTCTCTGTTAGCAACCCCTATAACCACCTCTTCCTATTTGTGAGATCTCTTACACTTTCAAAAGTGCTGGCAGGTTTGATCCCTCTTCCTTCTCTCATCATCAATCTTTGCTATTTTTCACTTTTTATCTATTCTTTTTTGTTTTGTGAAGATTTGATTTTTGTGATCAAGGTATTGATTTGAAGTTGCACCATTGGATACTTAATATTCGGACTGATTTCAGTAGAGAGATAATTGGATCAGGCTAGTGTTTGAGAATTCTGGTTGAACTTGGATCGTCTATGCAGACTGATTTGTCTTCTTAATCTTTTTACAGTTTCGGGTTAAAATGGAAAAAAAGGACAAAAAAAATTATGTATAATGGAGAATGGCAGAATATTCTTACATACCCTTCTTTTTCAACAAGAATAAGATTCCTTTCTTATGGTTTTTTTGCCTTTTCCTTGGAATAAAACGACCTGTAGAACTTGGGTGAAGTTAAAGGCAATCAGAGATTGTGCTTTGGAAGAATCTTTTTGTCAAATATGCTTGGATTACAAGACTTTGGAAAAAATTCGTGTAGCATTTGTTTTAGTGATTGATTATTTGTATTTGGAATAGAGTGATTGCATCAGGGACAATACCAGAACCGGGGTCACTGAAGGCCAGCTACACGACGATGCTGGACGTGCCAGTGAAGGTGCCATATAACATATTGATTAGCTTGGCAAGGGACATTGGTGCAGACTGGGACATTGACTATGAATTGCAGTTGGGACTCACCGTTGATCTTCCTCTAATTGGAGACATCACCATCCCTCTCTCTTAGAAAGGAGAGATCAAGCTTCCTACTCTCAGAGACATCTTTTGATTTATAATTATATCTTTCTCATGTTTTCTAGCGTATGTTCAACTTTCGTTTACCCCTTTAGTTAGGATGTAACCTGAAAGATATGTCAAAATATTATGCTTTTGAATATCTTGTGTTATATTTCTGATCAGTCCTTTTTTATTCGTGAGTCATGATAGTTTTTGGATTAAGATTGACCAATCTCAGTTTATCATAGAGTTCAGCTTACCTCTTCAACCCAAAAGAAAAAAAAGAAAAAAGAAAAAAAGAAAATCCAACTTTCCATTGCATTTAATTAGACCCATATGGACGTGGACTGTTGTATCATCATCAATGAGATGGCCATAGCTTTGCCAGGCTTGTCCAAGGCGGGTCCTCCATAACTTGCATTAACAATGTTTCGCAAAAGTTCTGCGGATGAGCAGTTTTAAAGCTATTGCTTGTAATAGAGTAATGACAACATTAATTCTCAAGAAACCAAAAAGTAAAAGCCTTTTAATTTCTTGGAAGGAGGTTATAAAAAACTTGCCTTTCCATTCCATATAGACAAGGTATTTAATTTGTAATATGATCATCAGCAGCAAATGCTACAAATTGATCACTTTCAATGGCTGTTACCATTCGTTCAAACACCGAGGTGCTTTACTTGTATCATTGGCTAGAGTTAGAAACTGCTAACTGGATTAGGTGGCCACTGGATTTTTACGCAAGTAGCATTGATTTGGTATTTTATAACTGTAAAAAAATCATTAGGGGATGTAGCTCAGATGGTAGAGCGCTCGCTTAGCATGCGAGAGGTACGGGGATCGATACCCCGCATCTCCACACATTTTTGGTTCGCTATGGGTCAAGCGTGCTCCAGACTTCCTTGATGTCAGTTATATACTGTTTGTTATATTTACTAGAAGTGTACTCTAAGCTTCGGGTAGAGTGATAAAATGTGCAGTACTATTTCATAATCCTCTTGTGGTCGAAAACTGTTCTAAAGTCCCCTTAATGGCTTGCTTTATAAGTAACAGCCTTTGATGGTTTGTGCTTGTTGTTATAAGCTATTTCTCAAAGAAAAATCTGATTTGGAACAAAATTTTATAATGGCAAGACATAAAATATTAACTTGAAGTTGTCACATAAGGATTTCAGATGCAGCAGTTTTTGGTACAGTGAAGTATGAACAACAGCAGGTTTTCACCATAATTGTTCTCTTACCAGTCTCTCTCCCGGCAATCAACAGGGCCCCCAAGCTTGTAAGCGTCTGTCATGTGAATTGGATTTAATTACGGTTCAAAGATAATATGGGAGTGACAGTTTAAAATTATCAGAAAAATGTAACTAAACCAAATGTACAAGTATTAAGCAGAATGGCCACAAACAAATTGGAACAACTTGGTGGAGTCTGACTGTTAGCTTAGAAGTGAAACAATGATCAGAAGAATAATGTCTTTATTTCCTGATCAAAATCCCTGTCCAGCTGGTGTACCCTGGTCATTTTCACGTGATTGCCAAGGCTGCTTCGACATGTTTTCTCTCATCGTAAAGGCTAAAGCTAATTACGTATTCACTTAATATAAACAATCTGTTGCCAAAATTTGGAAAGTTTCCTTGCTTTTCACTCGATGCTTTCTTCAAATTCCAACCATTTCCGATTTGCATCTCTCTATTTCTGGTGACCTACACCATCAATGTTATTCTGGACAAATGAAAATTAACTTTCAAAAACTAAAGCAGGAATCATACAGCCTGCCAAAATAGAGAAACTTATCGTTATGATAAAACTAAACTTTTTTTTTCCCAAAGAAACCGAAAGAAAAGAAGTAAGAGGAGCTAGCATTTGCCGTTTGCAGTTTGCACTTTTAATTGTAATGGCTGCTAAAGAGAATGGCGAATTTCTACTTAGATCCTTCATTGAACGAAAGAGAGATATCAGTGTAGAAGTAGCAATCCAGAAGTGTGACGAGCTTTATCAACAACAGAAAATTGCATTTTACGGCAGTATTGCTGCAATGCTTTTCTTGATACTTATATTTTTTTTGGTTGCCTTGTTAACCAGAAAACCAGCTGGTGTTTGAAGTATTTGCTATTTCCCTGACCTACTTTAAACACATTTCTTTGTAGCTAAGGAGTGATGATTGATGAATTCTTCTTCTCTGGATTGTGTTTCTATTTTTGTAAGTTGTTCTTTTTTTGTTGACTAAATTTTTTGCTTTTCCCTTATGCGTATATGCCTTAGCTTTGTATAACGGTATATTTATACTAGCTTTGTTTTGAATGCTAGGCTTGAAACAAACTGATCTATTTTTTTGGTTCAGTATCAGTCACATGCATGGTGAAACTAGGCAAATTTCTTGATTGACTAACCTTTTCCACCTTATAATTTTGATTTTCCAATCTAACACAGAAATAACAAAAAGATCTGGTCCAAGTCTTTAACTGGAACAGGCTGCACTTGGCCTATATATTTGAAACTTGTTCGGAAAAAAAATTGATCATCCTTGGCAGTTTGTCGGGCAACAGCAAAGATTTATGCCTTTAACACAACCAAAATTGAGCAATATTTCCGTCTATTTGGCTGTTTGGTTGACAGTAAAAGAGAGTAGAAAATTTTGCTTGTGAATTATAAACTTATATCCGGTCATATATTGTTAATTTAGATAAAATTTTCATCTAGACGCTTGATTAGGAAAATTGCGCTGTGTCCATGAGGTTTGGTATTGGCCAAGTTCCAGATTAACATTCTCAAACAAGTGATGATGGAGAGGCAGCTTTACACCTGAAAAAAGTACGACGCAAGGCATCCATCAAGTGTTGCGGTTGCATCGCATGCAATGATCATCCAAGCGGTGGTGATCACTATTTTAATTTTCACAGTGTTTCGAATCAAGGATCCAATCATCAGAATGAGCGGTGTTACAGTTACAAAGTTGGAGCGAACCAATGGTACAACACCTAAGCCAGGGTCCAACATCTCCTTAATAGCCGATGTTTCCGTCAAAAATCCTAACTTAGCATCATTCAAATATAGGAACACAACCACAACTCTTTACTACTATGGCACAGTGGTCGGGGACGCCCGAGGCCTTGCAGGCCGTGCAAAGGCCCATCGGACCATGCGGTTGAATATTACTGATCGGCTCTTGGCCAGTCCAAAATTGGCTGCGGATGTGAGCCCCGGCACGTCGACGATGAACAGCTACTCAAGAATTGGAGGAAGGGTCAACATGTTAAACGTTATAAAGCAGCATGTTACTGTAAAGATGAAATATTGCTCCATGAAAGTTAATATCTCCCGCCAGTGCCAGGCAATTCAATAACGGAAATGCAAGCGAAAGGTTGATCTCTAGGCTCTTGGGTATGTTTGCATGTTGCCTTGCCCACGTAGTGTATAAATATAAATATATATATATATATTTATATAACATTATAATGGATACTACATAGTTACGCCTTACGCCTATCTGTGGTATGATTATATAGTTTCGATTTAATTTGTCATGAAATCTTTTCGGATTTGGTTTAATCGCTCAATCCTTTTCCTCCGTTTGATACAAAAATTGATCAAATTCAACACCAAACCTAAGCTTTTAGCTGAAAGCAGGCCTTCAATTATAATGGAATGGTTTAAATTTTTGTCTCGATTGGAATTGATGAGGCCAGAGAGCAGAGCAGCATGGGACTGCAAGTGCAAAGTGGAATGGTTACTTTGTCAAGTTCTGATGATTAATTTCCCTTCTAAATAATGGTCCCGTTAATTGTATGTTGGTTTCCAATAGAAATACACAAAGCCAAATGGGGGACCGCCATGGTACTTCACCCAAATGCCTTCAATTCTAACCAACTTATCTTTTGAAAAAAAATGGTCGGATCTATATCTTCAACGACTTTGTTTCAGTCTTTTTTGGATTGATTCCTTTAAAACAGGCCAGAGTGCGTTGAGATGACTTCCTTTGGAAACAAAAGAAAACGGGGGGGGAGACGTTTTTTTTAAAAAGGAGATGTGATGACACGAGTAAATTTTTTAGGTAAACATAGTGTGAGCATCTTTAACAAAGAACTTGCTTACTGCCACTATTTTTTTTTTTCTGGTCCAAGGTTGCCATCATGGGTTTAATTGTTATTTTCTTCAATATGCATCCGATAGTTGGAAGCCACCGAATACTAGGTAAAATTATAAAGATCATTTCATTGACCAAACATCATAACGCAAGGAAAAAAAAAACTATAGAATTCCTGTTTGCAGTGAAACTATAACTGAATAAGAACAGTAATAATAATATTATTATTATTGTTATTATTAGTATAAAAAAGGTGGTATTAAGATTTTTGGGGCTGCAAGAAAAGTGGGAGTAGCAAGTACTTTGCTTTAGTCTTGAAAGAAGCACCAGACCGTGGCTTAAAAAGAATGAGCAGACTGCAATCTTGCTGCAGTCCGTCTCCATCAGATTGTTAATTTGTTCGCTTTTTTCATACAATGAAATCCAGTTTTTGGGGGAGTAAAGTCGGGCAATATATATATATATATATATTTTTTTTTCTTATCAATCAATGGTGATTTAACTCTCTTTGTATGGGTCAAAATCCAGCATTCCTTCACTTCAAAGAAAAATGAATTTACAAATTTTGACCAAAAGAAAAAAATAAGTACCAATAAACAATGAATGCAGCACCATAATTCGATCGATGTAACATTAAACATCACACAACCTGTTTCAGTGGAGCCTCTGTTTTTGAGGTCTCAGCTACTGTAACTTTAAGGCTAATAGCTGGAGAACAGCTGCTGCTGCCATTGCTTCAAGTGCGATGGGCAAGAAGTCCAGCCTATAGTGTCACACCACACTAAAAAAACATTGTTCATTTATGTTGTTGTTTTCAATCTGTGGTCCATTGGATGTTAGTGCTTTTTCTATAAATGCATAGAGAAAACCTATCTATGGTAGTTAACTTGGGTAAACGAAGAAATTGCCAATGTTGGTCTGTCATCTACATTTCTTTTAGACAAGGATCTATGAAGAACCTTTCATCTTTTATTTTATTCTTGATAGAGTGTGTAAAATGTGGAAGAAAAAAGTATTTAAAAGCAGGAAAAACAAAGTATGCCAATATGGTATGAAGTTGAATAAACAAGAAATTGAGAAAGCAGTTAGTAAGGATGAGCCACAAATTGTTTTTGGATTGTTTATGCATGACGATTGTGTGCAATTTGAAAGCAGAAAGCATATAAATCTTGGATGTAGTACAATTCAGATTGTACAATTTTTTCTTTAAAATTGCCTTGCACAAAAAATGGACCTAACATCCGATGTTAATATTAATATACTAAATATAGTTGCCATGAAATTATTGTTTTCTATAACCTCAATCCTCAAGGAACTTCAGGAAACAGATTTTTCTTGCTTTAAAAAATGGGCGAACCCAAAAACAGATAAAAAAAAAATGAAATAGAAATCACATAACACAAAGGAAGTGGAAATGAAATGAGGAAACAAAGCAAAAAGGCAGCAGCACCACAATAAATGCCCACCCGCTGTTTCAAAACTGAGTATTAAATGCAGCAGCTGGAGCATTATCTACCCATTTTCTCTTTCTCTTTCCCTTCCACTCACCAAATGGATCCTCCTCTTTCCCCCAAATGTCCACCCCTCCACCTTCTTCCCCTAACTATCTCACCAACTTAGGCCTCGGCTATTCCATTGCCATCGCCCTTGGGTTCCTCGTCCTCCTCTCCACTATCCTCCTCGCTTCATACATCTGCTGCCGCACGTCCTCTTCCCCACGCGCCTTCTCTCCCAACCCCACCACAACTGCCGCCTCAAACTCGGATGGAATCATCCTCCCCAGGATTATTTTTGTTGCCGAAGATGAAGATGTTGCCGAAGATGAAGACAATGAAAACGTCGTCGTTGGCCTTGACCAGGCCGTTATAAATTCTTACCCCAAGTTCCAGTTTAGTAAAGAGGCGGCTGCTACGGGTTCTAGTAATGTGAACACGACATGTTCGATTTGTTTGTGCGAGTATAGGGATTTGGAGATGTTAAGGATGATGCCTGACTGTAGGCATTATTTCCATGTTTCTTGTATTGATGCTTGGTTGAAACTTAATGGGTCGTGTCCCATTTGTCGGAACTCGCCGCTTCCAACTCCAATTTCTACGCCTTTGTCTGAAGTCGTGCCTTTGTCTCAGTATGCTGCAGACCAAAGGAGGAGGAGGTGACTGTTGGGGGATTCTTCTTCTCCTTTTTAAAAAAAAAAAATTAAATATCTTAGTTTTGGTGGATGATGTCTTTATCTCTGTCTAAGGTTGTTTTAAGGGGGAATTTGTATATTTATTTCTTTTTCTCTTTTGGCTTTTTTGGAGTTTTGGGATTAGATAGTGAACAGGGAAATTGGATAGTGGAGTTTCTTTTGCTCAATGAACTGTGATTTTGGTTGTTTTAGTGGAAAAAAAAGAGTACTAGGTGCTTGGTGCTGAGTACGAATTGGGTGAGAAAAAAGTGATTCAATCAATTGGCACTTCTTTTTAGTCATGGAATTTGTTTCATAAATTGTATTCTCCTGACTTGAGTGTGAAATGCATAGTTTGCACCAATTTTTGTTTTGTCTTGATTATTATACTGAGACATTAACTGCCGTATGCTCTGTTCCCTCTATTTAATTGTTTGAAATTCTTGACAAGAATTACTGGATTGAGCATTTCATTTCATTTTTCCCAATTGTGTTAAATTAGAGTACAGAAATTGATACAGATGGATTGATTCCTCTCACAGTTTCTACTTACTCCACCGTTTCACTACTTGCTTTTTTTTTTTTTTTTCTTTTTCATGTACATTAGTATTCATCAAGCACCCATTTCTGTTTGGGTTCTGTATAGAGACAATCGAGAAGCTTCTGTTGCTTTGCAGAACTCCCTTCGTCTTAGTTGTCACTTGTCAGCTAAGTCTCCTCCAGGGGTTTAATTAGCCTAAAATTTTTATATTTATTGAAGATAAAGCTGCCTCCCTGGAAAGGCAAACAAGAGACCCAACCAAGGAACTAAAGAGAACCTTTGTTTAGTACTGGGTTCTTAGCTGCAGCAAATTGATCTCGCCAAATTATGTAAAGAAAAGGATGCCTTTGTTAATGACAAAGTAAGTTTTGATCCCTTAGAATTTGAAGGAAGATCTCTGAAGCTCTCTCAAATATCAGTGACCTTAAATTATCCTATAGAACTTGTTCCTGATATTTCTGGTCACTGGTTTCTCGTGACGAGAAAGACTTTTTATTAATGGAGTTGGTTAAAACAGTTTCGTTAAATCCTGGGGCGAAGGATTGCAAACTTTCAAGCAAGCAGAGGACATTAATAGGTTGATTTTTGGTTCTAGTAGGGTTTTTTACACTTACAATCCTTTCCGATCATTTGTTCAAACTGGGTACTCTAAAGCTATAGCCAGTGTTGCGTCAGTCCATCTGTTTGCGCTGATGCAAACATTATTTCCAATTCCGATGACCGTACACATTGGAGTATTACACTGTTCGTTGCACATCTGTAGCCATGTGGTTCATAATCATAGTTTTCATGTCAGAATTCCGGCAGAATTTGTATCAACAATTAATTTAGTTTCTCGTCAAACTGTTTGTAGAATGTGGATGCCGGTAAACTAGAAATATTACAAATCTTAATGTTTTTAGGGTACGGATTTGATATGGAGCATCTCATTCTCATTGGGCTGTCCTTTTCTTTGCTGATGGTGACTATGGGTGTTGAGACAGATTTTTCCACATCCAATGGGCCAACGCTTGGGAAGTGGACTCGGCCCACTAAAGCAGATAAAAGAGAACCATATGCCATCTAACATTCATTTTTCAGAGTCTGTCACATGGTTGACTAATGAATGGATGACCAAATATGTTACCAATTTCATTTGTGATTGTCTGTCTAATGCTTGAAAATAAGATGACGTAATGTAATATTCTTTTCGTATCATATTATAAATTTAATTTTATAATATTGATCTATCATATTTTTATTATTAAAAAGTAAAATTTTTTAAAAAATTTAAATAAAAATAAGAGTGGGAATTTAAAAATGAAAAATGAATATCTCAAAAAAAACAACATTTATCTAAGCAACAATTTCTTTGAGGAAATCAGTTTCTAAATTAATTTGGTATTTAACAAGAGAGAAAAAGAAATTAAAAAAGTGGCAAAGCAAAACATACCCAAGATAACGTGGAGCCCACTGATGGTAACCCGAAGCGACCACTGAAAAGCGATAGCCGTCAGTGCCATTCCATACTCCATTAAATGATCACCACGTGTCCCAACTCTGTGAACCTTTTCCAAACACCGCATCGTGCCTCCACGCTCCTATCGTCAGAAATTCAGAATCCAAATTCTGGTGTGGACCCCACTCCAAGCCATAGCCCCCGTCAATCTAACGGCGTCAACTTTTGATTTCAAATTCTCTCCGAACCATCAGGTTCGGCTCCACACCTCAGGCCCAGACTCATCTGTGGTTTATATACTAGCCATCATAAAACCCTATATTGCCTGCTTACACTCATCCTACGATACTTTTAGGACATCGTGAGAATCGGAGACAAAGAACCGTCTTTTTAGGGTTTTGGTTCGGACTTTTTAAGCAATGGCGGAGGAATCTGAGAGTAAGCAATCGACGGTGGAGTCGGTGATGAAGAAGATCAGCGAGAAGATTCACAGCCATGATTCATCGTCGTCTTCGGATCATGAGAAACCAGCTTCACCTTCCTCCGTTACGGCTAAGCTTTATCGGTTGTTTGGAAGAGAGAGGCCCGTTCACCATGTTCTTGGTGGTGGAAAGCGTACGAACCCAAACTCTCACTCCTCTTTTTTTTTTTTTTTTTAGTTAATGAGTTCAGGTTTTTACGCTTTTAATTTCGTCTGTTTATGCATTTGATGGAAATGTGAGTAAAAGATCTAATGCGTTTACTTTTACAATGATTAAAAAAGATTACTTTGATGGAAATTCGGTGGATCTTTATTTTGTTTTATGCTTTATGATCTGTTTGGTAGTTAAAGAAAATGTATGGCTTTAGTCCCATTTTTTGTTTTTATTGTTTCTTTTTTTATTTGGGAAAATTTGATAGTGAAACTTGAAATTTTTATTTCTCTTTAAAGACTCATTATAATTCTATTTTGCTGAAGAATCAAACTATTAAAATAACCTTGAGACCTTAATATTTGGGGTCTTTTGCTTTTGCCTTGTTTGCATTATGGGGAATAGAGCAAAGCATAAAATTTTTTATTAGGCGATATAAAGTAAATTGATTAAAGAGAAAAAGTCTTGTGTTTTATGGTTGTATATTGATTGTTTTTGTTTGTGTTAGATGCTGTTATTGACTCTTTCCATTTGATTTTTTTTGGTAATAATTTGGTGCAGCTGCTGATGTGTTCTTGTGGAGGAACAAGAAGGTATCAGCTGGTGCGCTTGGTGGAGCAACTGCAATTTGGGTCCTTTTTGAATTGATTGAATACCACCTACTTACTCTAGTCTGTCACATTTTGATACTCTCTCTCGCATTAATGTTCCTATGGTCCAATGCCCATACCTTTATCCACAAGTAAGTTTTATGCTCTGTGCAGGAACTTTAGTTTATTTAGTTATGAAGTTTAAGATATTAAATGATTTCTTAAAGAATATACCCTGACCCTTTTTAGCATATAGGACTCCACCTCGCATCCCAGAAATTCATTTGCCGGAGGAGCCATTCCTCCAAGTTGCCTCTGCTCTGACAATTGAACTTAACCAGGCGCTGAAGCTGCTGCGAGATATTGCATCTGGAAGAAATCTGAAGAAGTTTCTTATGGTGTGTTTGTTTTTATGTCTATGGTGATTTTATGAGTGCTTTATCTTGAGTTCAGTTTTATTGGGTGAATCACTTGTATTTCCATTGTTTGAAAGAATGCTATCCATGTTTTTTATTTCAGGTTATAGCTGCTTTCTGGGTCCTGTCAATTGTTGGGAGTTCCTGCAACTTCTTGACCTTGTTCTACATATGTAATGACACTGGTCATTATTTTTAGTTCTAAATTTATTTATCTATATAATAACATACTGAATTTTTAATTTTTATATGGAATTTCAGGTTTTGTGTTGCTGCATACGGTGCCTGTTTTCTATGAGAAGTATGAGGACAAGATTGACCCATTTGCAGAGAAGACGATGATTGAGATAAAAAAGCAATATGCAGTTTTCGATGCCAAGGTTCTGAGTAAAATTCCCAAAGGTTCCTTGAAGACCAAGAAAGTTTAGAGGCTCGGGTATCTAGTCTCCAGCATCATTTGGATAATTGTGGGGTTTCCGTGGTTGTTGCGTTCTCTGTTCACATCAGCTAGAGGCATTTCTTCCAAAATCAGCTGTTCACAAATGTTTTGGCTTGCAACATCAGTAAAAGCAATCGGTTGTTAGCAATAGGCCAAGCTTGCAGATGGCAACCATAAGGCGATTATTTTATCATATAACTTTGTTTCATTTGGATAACAATCAGCTTTTTATATGTGGATGCCACTTGATTTTGTGCTGTTATAGGGTTGTTTTATTTGTTTCCTAATTGGTGTGGTGCTATGGTGGTTTCCTGATGATTAGTCCTTTATAAGTTAATCTATTTGAGCCGAAAGATAAATTTGCATGTCCTGGGAAATGGAGGTAATTTTAGACCAAACTGAATGGTCATGAATCATTCATGGTCCCGTTGGTAAATGAAGAAAAACCTTGTGTTCAAGTTGCATAAACTCAAGTAAATAGCGTGGATCCCAGAATTTGCAATGTTATTGCATGCCGTGCTTTCTACTGCACCATAGAGAGGGATCGGAGTCTTAAAAGTGCAGTATTTACCCCTGTAATTAGGTGTGAGCAAAGGGTAAAAGGGATCAGAAGAGTCAAGCGAAATCGAAATCAAATCAAATGTATGAAAAAAACGATGTTGCCATTGTTGTCGTTAACCAGTTAATCTGTCACTAATATTCACTTCCAAATAAATTTGGCATATAAACAAGCAGCAAATGATCAATGGAGGTATTTCTTCTTATTTTGATTATGAAAGAATTGATCTAAGTAAATTTCATCATGGCAAAAACAACAAAGAAACTATACCTTTGAATAATTACAGCATCCGAAAACTCAGAATTTTGGTGGTAGTCTTGATAGACGACCACTACTCTCTGATGACATGAGAGGAACAGTTGAGAATTCAGAATCAGAATGTTCAAATTGCCGAAGATTTCCCAGTGACGATACGGGGCTTGAGTTCTGGCTTGGTGATAAACTAGACCTAGAGAAACCAGATGCAGTTGTTGTAGTTCGTTGGTCAGACACAGATGGACTAGGTCCAGCAGCATTTGGACTTCTTCCATGCAGGCTTTCCTTGGATCTACTAGCATCTTCTGCCAATTCCCTCTTTTCTCTTTCTTCAGTTTCCTTGAGCAGAAAATCAACCCACAGATCTGCAATAGACTGAGGAGAAAAGGATGCTTGAGACGACGATTTTCATGTGTCAGAATCAGAATCACGCAGAGATCATAATGAAAAAGGAAACCTATACTAAAGTTGAAAACTGAGGCAGTAATACATTGATGGTTTCGAACGTTCACATTTTCATTGAACTGGGTTGAGTCACCTTTTACCCTCTCTAATTCTCACTTTGGCCCTCTGAAGTTTTAGATTCTGGTAGCATCACTGGATTAAAGAGATAAGAGACTATCTTCTAATATCGGAAATGATGTTCTAACACTTGTGTAAGAGAGCGCCGATTTTTTTTTTTTTCATTTCTTTCTTTTTCCAATTCCTTTGCTTTGGGAAACATGTTGCTTACATTTCTTACAACCATATTTTGCTAGTAGTCAAAGCTAAATCCCAGGATTGAGTGCAAATTTTTCAACGGAAAAGCAAAATTAAAAATGCTAGAGGTAGTAATCTGTTAACCAGAGAGAACATTAAGGTGATTATAAAATATAAGATTCCATCCCAAGAGAGGAAATCATGAATTTTAAGAAGGGAGAGAAAAGGTGGGGGCATTGGGGATTTATTTACAGGGGAAAGACTGGTTGCCAGAACTAACAGACATGCCCACTCCAGACACCAAAATTTAATTAATAAATTAGGGGTAACATTTAATACTACTTGACTTGCATGTCATGGAGAGTAACAAATGCAATGGGCCTCAGAGACTACTGGTTGACGCATTAGGCTCTAAAGTTATATGTCTTGAAGTATGCTCTTAAGAAATACATGCAAAGAGAAATCGAATTTCGACTGCTTCTTCAGAAAAGAACAAAACAGACAAATAAGAAACATGATTGTGCAGAGAATTGGACAATCGGTTTTCTAAACAAGGTGAAAAAGTTACCTGGTTATCAGAGGCCATATTTGCATGTACGTCAGCTGAACTTCCACCCAAGATGCCACCAACCAAACGACCAGGTAGACCCAGAACACCCCGAACAACACCTTTGGCAGCACCATGTTGAGCAACACCTATCCTCTGCTTGTCCTCGTCTGAGAATCCCAGCATCCGAACCATGAGATCCAAAACCTAGAATTCATATGAATGTTCTGTAAGTGCAGGAAAGGGCATCTATTTTAACCCAAAAGCAATTATATTTCCAGCATCAGAAGTGCATTTGAGGTCAGTTCAGCAAATGATGTAAGCTATCCTACTGTGCCACAGCCTTGATCATCAAACATTACTATATGAAATAAGTAGAGAAAATTCATTTTCTAGTTTTATTACACAATTACTTGAACCATTATACCTCTTTGCTGTGGTTTCTTTGGAAGTAGGTCACAAGTAGTTTGATCACAATACGCCTGCAAAAAATTTAGTCCCAACATTAACATTCTAATTGTTCAGAGAACATAAAACCAATCTCAAAAATGTTATATTCAATAATCCAATGACACAAAAATTATATACAAAAATAATATAATAAATTAAATATATTCAAGAGGGACAGAAGAAGTTGGTATCAGTTAACAGCAACGATTATGGTTAAGCTGGTTTAGAAGGCCAACTGTTGCAGCAATTAATCTCAGTTGTGAAATTTACCCCATCAATAATAGCCCAAAGTTTTGCATGAGGGCACACCTTCATTTAAGGCTTATTTTTCTTTAAAGGTAGATTACCATTTTCTTGATAAAGAAGTTTCTTTTACATGGCATAGAAAGCTCCATTTTCTTGATAAAGAAGTTTCTTTTACATGGCACAGAAAGCTATTCAATTTAATGCAGATAATGCATCTATTTTCAAAAGCGGTTTCATCTGTCAATCAAGATAAAAGAAAGCTCACATCCCAAAAAATAAAGATGAAAGCTAATAGAAAATATTCATACGCACACATCCAGTTCTAACACAGAAAATTCATAGTAGTAAGGATATGATTCGACATTTAAACCGCTAACCTGTCAACAAGGTAGTCAGAGTCCATAGACATTCTGTTAAGCCTTGTCATGCTCTGCTCAAGAGCACGCCTTAGTTTTCCATTGTCTTCCTCAAGCTTGTTTACTCTGGTTTTCCCTTCTGCAACCATTCTTTCAGTTTGCAAAAGCTTTGCCAGAATTTCTTCCTTTTCCCGCTTTGATAACTCTGTATGTTCATCTACATCCTGGAAAATGCATAGATAATCAGAAAGGAAAAGCAGGGAAAAGCTCTTTGACCTTGAGACACATACTTTTCCACTTTTGAACTTGGAACGAGATTGCAAGGTAACTAAAGAGCAAATATTTGATATAGAATAAAACTCATAACATAAGCACCATTTTTAACTGAATCCATAAATGTGAAGAAGCAATTAGCAAAAAACAAGAATAGCCGACCTAAGATAAAAAAACTTGGAATAATTCCGTATTATTTTTCAACATAAAATGATTTCTCAATCACATCTTCCAAAATCCAGCAATGGTTGGTTTGATTTTGCAAATTGGACCTTTAAACTCAATTATTCTACTTAGCATTCTTCAAAGTTAAAATACATAAATTCTAAATAATGGGTGTACTATTAGAATATTTTGATAAGATTCCAACTCCACATGCCAACTCAATATACCTAGATAAAACTCGGTACTTCATTTTGTAGATAGGTTTCAACTGGCCTATCATAAGATTCCAAGAAAATTTAAATTATATCTTCAAAATAAAATATTTCCCAAGGGATCAATGCAATCAAAGCTTGGCCCATGGTTGACTTCAAAATAAAATAAAACTGAATAAAGAACTAGGAAGGGGATTTTAACTTTGAGGGGTCCAAACCTTCAGATGCCAACCACTTCATCATCATCCTTCCCTGAACCCTGCTTTGGCAGGCTGGCAAAGGTTAATAACTTTTTGCAGTACGATGATGACAGCACAGGCAAAGAAGCACACTACAAACAGTTTGCTGAGGAATCATAGTCCACTCTGGCAGAGGTTGCAAAAGTAATTCCTTATCCTTAATTTCAAGTTTGTATACAAAAGTAGCCCCTTCCTAAACCTTATTTGCATTTTGTCATATAAACTACTTCACTAAACTTTGTATGCACCTACAATTGCATAATAATATGGAGAAACACAGACACAGGAAGAAGTCACATAAATATGAAATAAAATCTCTCCATTCCAAAAAACACCTAAAAAAGTCCTACTAACAGTAAGACATGCACCGAGTTGCATGCACCCACTAATGTGCCATCCACTGAAAATAAAATTGCAGAATGAGAAATCATATAAGGTCAAGGAAAGGAGGGAGGACCATACTTTCAGAAGACCAGACAGTTTAGCTGATTCTTCTCTTGCCAGGGCCAAATCTCGCTCCAAATGTTCCTATGATAGAATAATATAAGCATTAAAAAACAAAGTTTTATTTTGGCCACCGCTTTAGAAAGTTTGTAAATACACAATACTAAAGATTTAGTTACCTTAGCTTCAATTTCAGCATAGTACTGACCAAGAGCAGTTTGAAGATTTAGTAGTTCAACATTTTTTGAATCTATTGTTCTTATACAGTTTGCAAGTTTCTTATTCAGATCATCAATGATTTCCTTAGACTTCTGAATTTCATTGTTGTTCATCATCTTAACTTCCTCCTGATTTGCCACTGCCAGCTTTAGGGCTTTCTCCAAATGTGCAATTTGAGCTCTTCGATATTCATTGCTCTCTCGAAGTTCTTCAATAATTTTGCTATCTTCATCCATTTTTTCTGATTCTTCAGATTCCTAGAAAATATTGCAGGAAGAGAAACCAATTTCAATTTTGACTGCAGAATTATAAGAAATTACATTTATATTTATTTAAAACATAAAGGATCCAGGATCGTCATAGAATCTAGCACAGGAAACAGAAAGTTGAATCGATCCTAAAGAACACTTAAAGTTAGACAACCACACTAGTTTTGTTTTTCACAAAGTGGCATGTAGCTAACATACTCATCCACAAAAGTCTGTTACAAAATATAACATCAAAATAGTAGCTATAAAATCAAGGCTAGAATCTTTAACATAAAAAAATTAGATGTATGAGTTCTTTTCTTTTTTTCCCTCAACTGGGGGGAGGGCTAAATTTGGTATGGTAACAAGGGGTAGAGCAATATTAATCAGAATAATTTTTAATAAAGGCCAGACAATCACAGTTGCTTCCAAAGATAAAAGACTACTGATTAATTGTAATATCATCTGGTCAAGAAGGACAAACAAATTCAATTGAGCAGCATATACTCTATACTAAACAATTTGAAAGCCATCATTATATAGTGAAACTTGAAGATGTATAAGGTTAAATTTTCACCAAAAATTTCATAAAAGTTCAGGGACCTGCAACCTTTTCTAATAAATGCTGCTTAAGACGAGTCAATTCTAGCAAAGCCTTATCCCTTTCCCAGCATGCTTCCTTGAGATCTTTTTCCAATTTCTGCAATGATAGTTCCATTTCTTTCTTTCCAGGAAAACTTCCTGGTGAATCTACCTTCTGGTGAAAACAAAAAGATACATTTGAAACTCGCACAAAGTAACAACAATAACCAATTGGAACATGAATCGAAATTTGCCAATGTGACATGTTGGCACAGGCACACCAAACCAACCAAAAGAAAAGAAGCTGCACGGCATATAGGCCATTATAGCAACTTGGATATACCAGAGTCTCAGAAGCACTAGAATCGATCTTGTGAGTTAAAGATTTCCTGCTACTTTCCAGAGCAGCCTCAAGTTCATTTTTCTCCATCTATAAGAGCATGTAATGGAAGTAAATTCAGGATATTAATATAAAAGAGCAATAAATTTTTTCACAGATGATGACACACTTCTTTAAATGGCAACAAGTTTATCAAGGGAAAAAAGTTATCAACCTTTAGATGAGTGTTTTCCTTCTCCAAGGTGGCAATCACTCTTTTCAAATTCTCCAGTGTATCATCTGCACTTTCATCCTCCCGTCTATTCAACTCCATTTGCAACCGTCTTATTTCTATTATTTTCTCATTCAATTCATTGCGTATTTTGAGCAACTCTGTGGAGCTCTGTCAATGCTCAATAGATTAAGAATATTTGACAATAAAACTCAAAAGTGAAATAAAAGCAAAGAGAAGAGCTTATGCAAGATTCCTTTATCCATTAAACAAATGAGGAAGTCAAAATGGCCATTTGACTAACATAGATCAAAACAATTTTCTACCTCCCAAACACTACTCAAATGAAGAAAACAATCACATGTAGAAGCAACCAATAATGAAGTAATAAAATTAGTACATATGTAATGATCATCAAGTAAAACATCCATAAAAACATACTAATTTCAAGGAGCACCCTAATATCAGGATTGAGAATAAAAATACAGAAATAAAAGTACAGTTACATGATTATACTATCGGAAACATGCTAATGTGAAGCAACACAAAGCGCATAGAACTCGTCATCACTATCTTCATTGATAATTAAGTGTAAATGTCTATAAAGACTACCTGAATAGGTCAAAATAAATGTTCAATTTAAACATACCAAAAATAACAATTAGGGTTCTATAAAGAAAAAAAGGAGTTGAAAGTAACTTTATACAGCCAAATCAAACCAACTCCAAACAATTCAGAAGCTTACTTTATCCTTTTCTGATTTCAGTAACTTAAGTTCCTCCTGAAAAGACTGATTCAGCTTGTGCTCCTCTGAAAATTAAAAATACAAAAAAAAAAAAAAATGAAGAACAAAAAGAAAGATGAGTTTTCCTTTGTTTGACAATGGGTGGTATTGCATGTATTATAGTTGGGTCTTCAAGGTGTATGTACCTTGTAATCTTATCTGTACATTCGCTAATTTATCACGTTCCTTTTCAAGTTCCATCTTGAATTGCTTTATTTGTAATTTGTGATTAGCTTGAACTGCTTCCAGGGACCTACTTTTCTCTTCCCGCAAATCTGCAAGCTCCTAGAAGGCATTCATATATCTTTGGTCAAGTTCACTCATTATCTAAACAAATATATAAAAGTTTGAAGGAAAAAGTTTTATATTGGAAAAAATCAATAGCAAGGGTGTATCAACCCCTAAAATGAGGGGAAAAATAAAATGGCAGAAGGGTAAGGGGGCATGCACCAGGTGTATACCAAATATCCAAACAGCCTAATATTGACTCTTATCACAAAATAGAAAAAAAAAAAAAAACAGTGCCATTACCTTTTCTTTCCCATCATGTTTAGAGGTAAGACCATTGGACATTTGGTTTCCAGCATAACGATTTTTCCCAAGACTTGTTGACTTATGCTGTCTGTTTGGTGACAGATCACCATTTCCCTGCATAAATTTGCGAAGTCAATCAGCCAATAACCAAAGGTATAATATAGAGACATGCATATTAAGATAGCCTGTTACTTCAAACATGGTAGCAGCAGGATCATAATTCAAGACAAACTAAGGTAACAACATATCCAGTGGAAAACAATGAATGTTCCAGTACAAGAGTAACATGAAAATTTGACAATTAATATCATGTGTGCCACTAAATTGAGCCACCAAACAATCCATATAACCTAGCCAACTCATTTCACAAAGGATAAATGTCAAGACGACCAAGTTATAAGAAGTAAAAGACTGAATTCTCATTCCAATACAAAAATCACACCTCTACATTCAAATTTCTGTGGACACCTGCCTCTAGGAAGGTTGTCGAAGGTATGAAAACATAATAGAACAAAATCATTTGTCTATCTATATCTGCTTCTTGCAGACAATTACAGCACAAATAACATCAGAATCAGCAAACTCAATGGCACAATATGTTAGCCTAAAAGTGAATTATTACATGAACTACAGATGAGTTAGAATTGAGGAACCTATTGCATTAAATCTAAAATTTCTCAATAAACCATTAAATCTCAGACAACAACTCTAACTGAGACTCTAGAAACTACCTTGAGTGCATTAGTTCCATTAGTTGATACTTTGGAGCTTTCACTTCTAGCTGCACTCAGAGCTGCATTTGTTACATTCAAGTTTTGTTTCAATGAGCCATTCTCGTGGTTCAGTCTGGAAATTTGCTCCTGGAAAATGGGATGTTGGGTGAGTGGTGAGAAAGAAATTAAAGCCAAAAGAAAATGCAAAAACTAAAGCTAAGTAATAATGAGAAAATTGTATGAATAACAACACAGCAATACTTCTGTAAAATTATTCCGATGCAAAATTTTGATAATATGACACCTCTAAAATTAAAAAACAGGCAGCATATGGCAAGACTTCTAGATGCAATCATGATACACGAACAAATTGTGATACTAACTCTAAGCATGATATTAGATGCGACACATAATCAGCCACTGCATATCCTCTTCAGCTAACACCCATTACTTTGGAGTTTTGACAACCCCAAAAAAGATATAATTTGGCAGAAGGCTCGATTTAAGTGATTAGCACAAGTATTCAAAAGTAAAATGACCAATCTACATCAAAGGGTACAGTTTATAAATTTTAGATGCCCATCTTGTGGCTTTCACATCAATTTCAAGCAAGCATTCACCAGCACCAAAGGATATCCGTGTGAAGATTCTAAAACCCAAATCTTAAATAGCCATGTAAGCTTCAAATAGTATGATATTATCCATGTAGTGAAATAAGTAAATGACACATTTGCAAGAGATGAAACAGGTAAAACAAAAATGCAATTAAATATGCTACAACAATTTCTCAGGATGTATCAGAAAGAAAAACTGCCACATTCACCCTTTTTTAATTCTACATGGCTCCCAATAACCCAAACTTCCCTTCTAGGCCTTATGTAGTAGTAAGTGATAAATTGATTTTCAATTCAATTTTGAAAATGATTTATTATTTAAGCATCAAATGTAGTATCCTAAGTCAAATATTTGTTAAATTCAATTGTAAAATTGATGAAAAAAGCAAAATGCTTTGTTACAATAAGTAATACATTATGGATCCCACATATGATACTTTAATAACGATGTCAATTATTTTCATTATTATCATTATTAGATTTGAACTTTAGACCAATCCCAGGCATTTAATACAAGAACTGCAACCACATCATGCCCTTATTGCCGCCTTAGATATCACTGGTCATAATTGTAATTAATAAGTAGGCTCAAGGTATTTATTTTGATCCATGGTGAAAACAAAATAAATCAGACAATACATAAATAAATGGGAAAAAAAGAATGATAAAACAGCGAGAATGTACCTCTTTTTCTTTTAACAAAGCAGCATAATTGACTGATAAAGCCTTAATTTCTGCCTCAGATTGCTGAAGCTTCTTAATTTCTGCTTTGTATCTTTCAATCTAAACAAAAAATCATAAGACAGTATTTGTCACACATGAAGACTAGAATACAACAACTGCACCCAGAATGCCACACAAAATGGTAAAGAAGCATCCATGAGACTCAAGAATCAAATATCATGCTTACACTTGACTCAGTCAAAAAGCAGCCAGAATTCACCCTTGACACCAAAAAAGAGGTGCTTAGGAAACCCCAAAACTGGTTCAGTTTCAATCAGAAGCCATTCGCTCTTCAAGTATTATAGTATAGACCATATCACAAACCTGAATCAATTTTTCTAACTATTCACCACTCAAATACATAAATTACAATACTAAAAAGGATTAAAATCAGCTACTTAAAATCTAGAGGTTCTCAATCAACAGCAAGAGTCAAAGAACAATCCCCGTGACAGATGTTACCGGTATAGCTTGTGAGACTCACAATCACCAAATAAAAGTTCCATGCATTCATATAAAGATCTAGAACTACCTCAGCACCTTTTCGTGGTATCATGAACTTCAAACTTCACCAACTAATGATATAAGCAATAGATAATGCAAAGAAATTAAGCAATGAATATTTAGATAAGGAATTTATCTAGTCAAAGTTTTGGATCTACCGCTGGGTCTTATGCAGAGAGAAATAATAGCCAATGCATTCAAAAAACAGGTGACTTTCGCGAAGCCTGATTCCAGATTGCTCAAAGAAAAATTTTACCAACTCGAACTATCAAATGTGATATATCACTAATCAAATATCATACTAAAATCCTCAATTAATAGCCACAATCACTCATTCCCAAACTCAAACAGTCGAGTGTCGACTAACATCATCCCATAAATTTTCAAAGGCATTGAACAACAAACTGAATCTACTCACAGCTCCGTAAAATCAGAAACACCAAATATTATTAAAAAAGTCCAAGGACGAAAATTTAATGCAATAATACCTCAGAATTAAAAGGCGAATACATTCCATTGGCGACCGGAGAGGGGGAAACGGGTTTTGAGTGGGCAAATCTATGAGAATTTCGTCTATTAAAGACTGGCGAATGGTCTCCATTTACAGAACCATAGATCTCGAGATCTTCGTCGTCATCGTCGTGTACATCAAGCGCGATCTTATTCAAATTCTCTTTCAAATTCGCAATCGAACTCCACATCTTCCAAAGCTCCCACAATCAGTTTGTAAAAATAAAAAAATACTTTGTAATTATTCAAAAAAAAAAGGAGGGTTTTGAAAATATCTGAGACTTAACTCGACGATGAAATTCGGGCAAACAAAAAACGTACGGGATAACGTGCCAAAGAAGATTGAATTTGATTGAGGATTTAGTTTTTGCAGGTAGATGTGATAAAATAAATAAGAAAAAAGAGTAATTTTAGTTTTGAAGGAATCTTTGCTATTGCGAATAGTTCTAGTTAGATCAGTTTGGCGGATTGTGGAAACGGGTCCCGTCCCTCCGGTTTGGCCCGTTACGACTTTCAACTTGATTTCTAAATACTTAAGTGGCAGTTTTACGCGAAAAGTATCGTAACGGCTTCTGTTTTTCGAAACAGTACAATGAAAATTTACCGCCGCCATGCTTCCTTTGATTTCTAAATTCTATGATTTTCTTTTTGTAAGTAAAATGTTGAATCTTTAGATTTTTTATATTTCTTGATTCGTTGATAATTGCATGATGGCATGCAGTAAAATGATAGTGTATGAGTGAAAACAAAAATTTTAATGGGTTGACAATGACCTAAATATCTCTTCCCATTAAATGGAAAAAGTAAAATAATAATAATAATAATGGAAAATCTGGTTGGTCTATTGGGCCAGAGGCCCGCAGCTACAATTTGCGGGCTTATCCTTTGGCAGCTTGCTCTTTATAAAGAGTAACAGACCCACCATTAATGCACTCACGCTGTCTAAGGGTTGGAGCTTCCGTCGGCGACTCGAAGGAGGCTCAGTCTCCTTCCGTCCCTTCGTTTCAGTCTTTCTCTCTCATGAAATTTCTCTACATCTCTGTTTCCTTTTTTTGTTACAATTAAAAAGTTGGGATCGATGCGATGAAGATGACTCTGGAAAGGAAATTCGATTGTAGAATAGTTTCATAGCTAATCTGCAAGATGAATCCTTGATTTTCTGGTTCGTATTCACTGAGCATCATTTTCTGTCTTCAGATTTTCGATCAATAATATTGGCGTCTGTCTCGGTACATTTGTTTGCAAATAATTCCTGGACGGAGAAACGAAGGACCTATGGATGGAGTGCGAAAACAATGCACTTTAATCCAAGTTTGCCTTCGGAAATCGATACTGGAATTGGATCATCCGCACCAGCCTCCATTTGATGTTCGGTGTATTATTTGGGTCTGATTTTCGAACATTTTATAAAAAAAAAAAAAAGGGAATGGATGTGTTTTTTTGTTTAACTGGTGAAGGTTCCAGCAGTTAGGCGAGAACTCTAAGAATTGAGACCTCTCTAACAAATTAACAAAAATGCCTTCGCAGATGTTCGCCGAATCGTAAGATGCCCAGTTAGTCCCTTTTTTGAGCGTCTGGAACCCTCGGCTACATTCACTTTTCTAAGCTAATCTATTTCTCTGTTTTTCTTTCTGTGATGTGAAACATTTTTTAGAACATTCAAAGTAATAATCAAACCAGTTACTTTTACTTGTATATTCCAAGAGGAAAGATCTGTAAACTCGAGCTATCAAAAAGATAAATCGTAAATAGTTGAGAATGATGAAGATGCAGAAAAGTAACATGTGGTCCATTAATATTGGTTGGACGATGTGTGTGAGAAACAGAAAAAAAAAATCACATACTGAAGAGGATAAACTGTGCCAGAAACAAAGGGTAACAAGGGAAGCAGTAAATAGTCAATTTCAATAGACGGGCAATCTAAACATAAGCCTTCAAAAATTTCGAAATTAATTTTACAATACCCTATTACCCCCTCTTTGCAGACTAATAAGGTGTCATTTTAGGCCCCACCAGGTAGGATGCCCATATCTCATCAGCCGGAGGTGATGGCTGAACCCAGTGACCTGGTATGCGGCTGCACTCAAGTTGTATAGAAGCGTAGTAAGCAATAAGTCGCTATTCAAATGCTCTTTTTATGATGCAGCATAAAACGGCTAGCAGCAGTCTACTATCATGCAAATTTGTCTACTAATGTAGCATCAGATAATAGTTTGCCACAAGAGCACATTGTTGAAAAAGGCACAGATTAGATTAAAGTGGTGTTGCTGAAAGTTGCATAGATTTTTACAAATGCAAAAACAGGTAAAGTGATTATGACACCAAAACTTAAGTGGAAATGGGGGCTTGATTCTTCATAACCATATCATGTTCTATTTCATTTCTTTACCCATCAACTCCAAGTGCACAAAAATTAGCTTTGAGATGCAATTGAAAAAGTGCCTTGTTTATAGAAACATTCATGATTAATGAAGTGCATTGTAGAAAAGGCTTGCTATACTTACCTTCCTCCTCGTCTGATATAAGCATCCCATGTCCTTCTAACCTGCACGTGAAGATGTAATTAATGGGGATTGAGTATGAAATTGCAGCTGAATACAGATGCTTGTATATGCATCAGCCATCAAATTTGCACCATTCATGCTCGTGGAAAAAGCAAACAGCCTGCACATACTGGCAACATATACTGCTTGAAAGAAAAACATAGTGCCATGCACCAAGTCACCTACACTTAGAATAAAAGTAGCTGAACGCACCTCAATAAGTGTTCCCATGTCGTTATTGCTTCCATGGTAATAGTGATAGAATTCAATTGGTAAATTGGTCAAAGAATCATATGCTCCAGTGTAACCATGTCCTTTCGATATATTTTTGCCAGATTCCTTATCAGTGACTGTAATAGAGTCCTCTTCGTCCTCATTTGGTGTTATTTGGTCTTTGCTGTCCTTAATCTCAAATTGATCACTGATAAGATCCTTTAAGGGGGGTCTTTGGTTCTGAGTGGCCTTCCTAGTTTCCTCGGCAGTTGCAATGGCATCTTTAGCAGCATCTGTATCAGCTGCTGCCAAAACTTGTCTCTCCTCTTCCTCAACTGCAGCTTGAACTTTCTCAAGAAACTTGTCATCCTCCTCTGGGAGAAAATGGCCTGCACAAGTTGAAAGCAACCTTAAAATTACAGTAGAATCTAAGACAGTATAACTTGTTGATACGGTAGATATATAAACACTCAAACGTGCACACAGTAGGGCTCCTTATTTTAATTATGGAAAAATTATCGGTTTTTTGCATGTGAAAGTCAATCTTTCCGCACTATATTATTTGACAGATATTTCTGAAGGTATCATTCTCAATTTTAATATGTAAACTATAAATTACAAAAACCCAAACTAACTAACATGCACAAATTTACCCACAGAAAAATAAAAAGAGGGCATCTATCATGAACCTGCATATCAGTGGCTGGATTTAGCAGCTAAAGCCAATATTACAGAGTTGAACTTTGATACGGTTGAAGAAAAAATAGATAAGAAACCAACTAATCCAATCACAAATCAAAATAGCAAATTCAGTCTGAAAACTTAAAGCCAGTACAATTTTGCTGTAATACCTTGTTTCTTCAATTTCTGAATCCTCATGGAGCGCAACTCTTGCAGCTTTTCCACAATCAAAACTAGCTCAAGCTGGCATATAAAACATACTATAAGAATAGACAAAATGAAATAGAGAAAATTGGTAAAAAAGAAAAGAAACCCCTAAAATTAGTGATTTTCTCATGTTAATCTTGCTAGCAAAGACAAATTGAGAGACAATCTACAAAATGTATTGTATCCAAAGTACATAGGAGCAGCATCAAGGAGATCTTTGCGATCAAACTGTTATGCTTGGGCCAAAAAAATACCGTTATGCTTCTATCACATTGAAAAGTAGACACTAAGAAAAGAGGAAAGAAACTGCTAAGAGGGTGAGAAAGGAACAGTGACATACCAAACATATCAGTGTGCGTGAACACTTAGCATGTTTCACATCATAAGTTTCTTGCACATGTAGTAAATATTGTACATATGAAACTATGCCTAAAGCAGTTTAACAAGTCTAGAGAGTTATCAATTATTTCAAATTATTAATTAATTTCGTTGCCCTGAGCCAGAAAACAGAAACAAGGAAGAAAAGAGTTTCCAAAACATTTTTCAAAGCCTTTACCTCAGATTCTAGTCTCTTTTTTTCTTCCTTGGCTTTAAGCTTTGCTATTTCCTTCATCTTTTCCACCTGCAAATCAACTTACCTCAGTCATTACTAAGTGAAAAAACAGTTTACAACAATGGAAAAAAGAAAACGTTTGGAGTTGATAGCATCTGATGGAAGCATCAATGAAAATCAGTCGTAGATTTGTAGCAAGAAATCCTTAATGAAACACAAAAATCACAGTACCTTGTGGCTTGCAATGTCCTTTGCGATCTCTCTAGCTCTCCATTCATCAGCGTCTCTATCAGCTTGATCAAATCGTTCACGTTCCTAGCATTCATAACAACAACAAGAACAAAATGAGCCATTTTCAACACAAGCCAAGGGTAAAAAGCAACGTGAGGAGAAACCTTACTAGGACAAACCAAGCAAAACAACCTTTGTAAGCAATTCTGCCATTCGTTTCCGCTTTCTTTTCCTCCAAAGGTTATTCCTTTTAGACTTCTTAATTTTATTGGTCAGTCTAGCTGCTGCTGATTTCTCCTCCCACGGGCTCGCTTCATCCACAACATATCTAAAGGGCTCCAACTGAGCTCTTAGCTTTGACATCAAAGAATTCGCCGCTTGCATAGAAAGTGATTCTTGAGTTTCCAAATCAATCCTCCTATCTTCTAGATACTTCAAGAACTCAGAAACAGAAGGATCCATTGACCCATTTTTAATCATAGTTAGCATCTCCAGCTCCTTTTGCCTATACAACCATTGAATTTTAATCAAAGTTAAAGATATTTAAAAGTATACGGCATTGATAATTGACACTACTGAATCTTATAAAAAACAGAACTAACGTACATTGCATTGGCAAGATTAAGAGTATCTTGCAAATCTCTAACACGATCGCGCACATTTCTGGTCTCCCAAAATGTACTCGAATTCGGTGGTTCTGGCGGTAATGTTGGGAACCAAGGCAGAGGCGGTGCGGGTTGAAAGTGAACCGGATTCATTGCTAACGGAGTTTCGAATATAATTCAGGTCGAAAAATTTTAAAAGTTGGAATCAATTATTTAATAAAGATTCGTGAATTATAAAGGTTAACCTAAAAAATTTTCTTCAATTTAGCTAATATGTTAAATTAGAGATTTAAGCGAATAATTAAAAGAATAAAACAGAAAGAATTTCAGATTTCGCACCTCTTTTTTTTTTGAAGAATTGTTTGGAACCCTAGCAGAGTGGAGTAGAGGCTCTGAGACCGGGTTGGCGGCCTGGCGCTGAACAATCGGTTAAAACAACGTTTGCAGAAGCCTCCAAATATTGACTTTGAAAGACATGACAAATATGGTCAGGATAGCCGAGTGGTCTAAGGCGCCAGACTCAAGTTCTGGTCCTCGAGAGAGGGCGTGGGTTCAAATCCCACTTCTGACAAATTTTCTTTTGTTCTAACTCCTTTTATGGGCCAGCTTCGGGTTCTAATGAGCCTGGGCTAAAACTGGGCCAAGCAAACCAAAATCTAAGCTAGCCCAAGCATCAACCGGAAACTACTAAGATGATCATCGAGGTTAAAACATGATTGAGCTGTTCTGAAAAAGAGATATTTGATAAAAAGACATTGGAAACTAATTTTTGGTAAGTTCTGGTCCTCGAGAGAGGGCGTGGGTTCAAATCCCACTTCTGACAAACTTTCTTTTGTTCCAACTCCTTATATGGGCCAGCTTTGGGTTCAAATGAGCCTCGGCTAAAAGTGGGCCTACCAAAGCTAGCCCAAGCATCAACCGGAAACTTGTAAGATGATCATCGAGGTTAAAACATGATTGCAGTGTTCAGAAAAAGAGACATTTGATAAAATGACATTGGAAACTAATTTTTGGTGTACTTTGGTGTTATCTTTGGCATGTTGAGTTTGTCACAAGACAATTATGACATGAACAGAAAGGAATAATGATTTAAGTAGCTGTAATTGTATAATTGTTGAGTAATGGTACAATCACCATATATACTATACATGTTAGTTTTACGGCTTACATTTGAATTGTCTTTCTAGTTATAGTAACTAATCTCCAACATTCCAGGTGCATGAATATGGCATAAACCAACATTGGATGCAGGGAGTCGTAAGCCTTTCCACGCTTTCAATGGTAAAACACAACGACATATGGCCGACATTTCCAACATGCAAGGTCTAGCAATGTTTTTGGTCCCCCTTATCCAAATTTGTCTATGTGTAACCTTTGCTTGTTTTTGTTGTTTTTATCTGGTATTGATAAATTAATACTGTTAATTTAATTTGGATTAAATTTAACAACATTAAATTAATGAATAATTGTATTGAAATCAAATTTAACGAAATTCGAATCAAATAATATATTTTAAAATACGATTTCAAAGTTAATTCTATATTTAAATTTATATTGAATTGGGTCATTATTTATCAATTAAAAAAGTTATTATTCTCACTTTCTATATATATGTATTAAGTTTTGTGACTTCAATTATAAAAAAAATAAGAAAGAAAAAATTAAAGAGTAATTTTCTTTTATTTTTTTGTTAGTAACGAAACTTTTAAGATCAATTCTGATAACATCAATAACACGAGTTTAAATTTTCATATGTATTTAAATCATCTTTTATTTTAAATTTAATGTTGTATTACTGGTCTAGGGAGCTTTTGATTAAATAATGTTTAGTTGGAAAATGATAAAGAATGCTTTTATTCGTAAGATTTCCATTTCTAAGTAGCTTAATCACTTGTCCAAGATAATTTTTCAACAAAAACCATAAAGTTGCTTTGACCACTAAAGATTATAAATATATGGTGTTTATTAATACAAACAGATAAATAAACTGGAAATCTTTGTCAGAACTACCTGATGAATACTTACGAGCTGACATTGCATTTAATGGTGGAAAATCATCTGTCTATCTATCTATCAAGACTCGTCCTGATTTGTTAAGAGCTGGTCTGAACAGGGACAAAGTTTTTGTGCATCAAAACACAGGGATGGAAACCGGAAAGTCTGGCAATGAAGACAATAAAAGAATCAGCAAGGACTTGGTCCCCCCACTTAACAGGCTAGATTTCTAGCTACAAGAGAAAAACAAAACTGGTATACTGACAGTCATTTTGTGGTGCTTCTTCCAAGATAGGAACGAAGCTCAATAAGAGAACAAAAGAAGAAAACGAGAAGCAGAAGGTTGACAGCATCGACTAAGGAATTTTCTCCTAACATAGCTTGTCATTGTCCCTTTCTCTGTCTAGCTTGTTCCATGCAAGAAACACTCGGGAACCCTCACTGCACCAATAGGAATTGGCATTTGCTTTGGCACTAACCAACATTCAGACAAGAAAATGGGGGCAATAAGAATAATTATGTTCAACACCAAATTTCTTCATGAATTTTTAAATACGTTGTGTTCTATTAAGGCATCTTCAACCCCAAGTTCAGTTCAACTGATTGTGGAGAAATGAGACTTTTTTTTTGTCAAGTTTCTTCTAGGGCATCTTATATTATTTTGAGAATTATCAACTATAGGTAAAGGTAACCATTGAAATATTGAAAACTTTACCGGTAGTCCCCTCAATGCTATATCAAGTGAGACAAATGCATTTTCCCATCTCCAACTCCCTAAAGGGAAAAAGACAGGAATAAAAGGCACAAACAAACATATCTTCTGTTCCCTTCCGCTTCTGTTCCAACTCCAATGTCACAGCCATCCCAATTCACTAAATCCCATTGATCAAAAACAAATCTTCTGTTTTAACTTTCAACTTCTCAAAAAGGGAGGCAAATTTAGCATTATAGTACTCAATTCATTCGCTGCAAGAGAATAGATGGCGGCTGAAGCCATGATGAGAATTGCAAGGTCTGGAAATAGAAAGCTATAATTTGCCGGACATTCAAATATTTTTAGTTTGACGGCCACTCCAAGTCGGGGGCTTAAAATATTACCATGTGAGACGTCAATATCCTGTCTCCCAAAAGCGCAAACGACAGGGGCTTCACACGCACGAGAGCAGAGCAGAAATTTGCCCACAAAAAACACGCAGTGAAGAACAAAGAGAGAAAATAAAGACCTTGGGTCGGCCCTTTGAATTATTTCTATACCAACTATAAAAATTGGCCCGTTATTTTCATAAGCACCAAACTTTTGTCATGGTCGTACATCCTGTTTTGCCTTGCAGGCCATGTTAACCAGAAATATCAACCATCAGGTTCCTGGAGGTTTACTCCTGTAAATCTGTGATTCTATGGATGTAACCTGTAAGCAGTCTATCATGAAAGCTCTAGCTAAAAGTTTTCATTTACATTACTGAGAAGCTGGAAAGAAGGAAAGGAGAAGACGGCGGAATGGAAATCCATATCATTGCAAGATGACAAAGACTTACTTTCTGATATTAGTTTAATTCAGACAATATGAGGAATCATTAAAAAAAAAACCTTCTGCTTTTATCTTTGTTTAAAAAACTTCTCCTTTGTTTTAAAGACATCATGTATAAACATCTAAGAAGAAAGAAGAAAGAGAAATGAGACAATAACAAGTTGACACATGATCGACTGCCACGCATTTCTAGAAGTTCTCTTCTTTCTTCAACTGTTATCTTTTCCTCATCTAAGCATGAATCATTTTTCTGAAAATGGAAGAAGACAAAAACATAAGAAACTGTGAACATTTAAGTTTAGCAATTATATTTTTCAATAAACAAAAACTTAAGAATACCTATCGATCTTTTGCAGTGGAGAACAGCCTCATAAATTGAGTTCTCAAGATGACATGAAGCACCCATTGAACAAGCTGTTCTCTGTTGTGGAGATGCTTGTGGTGAACTGTTCCAGCTCTTAACTTTCCATGTCCTCCTGTCAATATCATCAACCCTCGTACTTTTTCTCGAGCACCCTACCTTATGGCAGAAAGATCCGAGATGTCCAAAAAGATTTCTCAAGATTTGCTTTGTTGATTTTCTCCACCTTCCAAGAAAGACGCAATGAATCATCCCTGTTGGAATTTCAGCTCTTGAAGAAAAGGAAGAGCTAAGTTTGTCTTGGACGGAATCCAAGGTATTGCATGACTCTCTCTTTGAAGGATCGATATAAATAGGTCTGATGAAGCCATTGGTAAAAAGCTCATCGGCATGAATAAAAGCTGCAGGAGTTTGAGCAATAGCATCAAAACTAAAGTTCTGGTCTGTCGCAAAATTATTTGACTCCACCATCTCATAGTTGAATTCTTCTGAGGTACCCCCGAAATAATTGTCAATAGATGCTCTGGGGCGCTCATCAAGGCCATCTAAGGAGGGTTTATGGTCAGATAACCAACTATAGGAAAAACTTTCAACAGCTAGCGGTTGTAAGGTTTCCATTAGCAACTATTAATGTGTTTGAATAAAGAAGGATTAAAAACTTATATACTCTTACAGGGGCAAAATGACATAATTGGTAGTTTACAGTGACCATAAGACCATGGTGACCACAAGGGCATACATCGTCTATTCTATCAAACTCATGCAGGAGACAAATGGGCCAAGTAATCTGGGAACCAGATCAACAGTAGGCTGTATTTTTAACTTTCTTTTCTTGTATAGATAATCCGTCATTACAAAATGATCTGTTTGATTGCCCAAGTCAGGAAAACCCGTCAGGCAATTGCTTCAATTGCTTTCAGTTTTTTGATAAGGAGATAAAATTATCAAATTTTTAGAAGTTCCTTTTCTCTAACACAGTGAAAATTTAATATTGAACATAAAAAATTAAAAAAAATTCATTGTAAGTATAGAAAAAAAACGATTGAAAGAAGAAAATACCAGTTGCCTATGCGTATGGTCACCTTTCTTATTGTAAGTAACTTTCAGAACATGAAATGTTTAATACAACAAAATATGGATAAACCGTATGCCAGAAAACTTTTTAGAACTACATGCAAGATATTGTTGAAATTTCAATTTACTACTTTGATAGCAAATTAAAATGGCAATTTAACTGCTTATTACTGTGAATCTGAAGTGGTCATAAAAAGAATTTCTGAAACAACTCTATACAGCAAGTGCTGAATAAAGTCAGCCACACAGGCGGCAAAAAAACATTACTTAATATGTTTTAATACTGATGCTTGATGTTTTCACTGTACAATCATGTCCTATCTGAAAGAAATGGAGCCCATGAACCAAACAAAAAACAAAAAAAAACAAAAACACGTGTAGACAGACAACTTAGATCAACAAATAGCTAACACCTTTGGAAGACTAAGCAAAGTTGTGCCAGGATTCTAATGCCAAATTATGCGTGCTTGTGAACACTGCATGATATCTCATATGAGAAAATGAGGAAATATTTTCCAAGTAAAAAAAAAGGAATAGAAAATGCATACATTAATTGACCACAATGCAAAGCTTATGACTGGTAATAAATAGGATTTTCAGCAACCAAAAAAGAAACAAACAAACAAAAGATCTAGGTATAATAACTTAAGAAAGAAGAAATAAATTCCTTCCAAAATATGGTCATAAAAATGTTAAACAATAACATTTGAGGGAAGTAGGGTATTAGTATTACTTTTTTTAACCAATACTCTACTATAAAAAAATAAAGCACCAAAGTCTTTTGGGAGGTAAAAGAGGAATCACTACAACTTAAATGATCTCTACAAAAAGCCTACCCCACCCTCAAACAATCGTAGTAATCCGGAACTCTAAAAACTTTTCTGGCACTATCGGACAGGTGGCCCCTAACTGGTTGGACTAGAAATGGATGCCAAAACTTTTATAAGACATAGATTGAATGAGAATGTAATTAACATGAAAATCAAAGGTCCCCTCATTCCTCTCAACACTAAAGCAACTTCCGGATGCATCCCATGTGTGATTGTGCGCACAATCACAATGTTAGGTCAATAAATTCCAAACCATGTTAAGTGATAGGCCACAGTTAAAACAGGGAGAAGTTCAGAATCTAATTATGTAAAATGAATGTTGTAATGTTAAGAAATCCAAAATCCTAGAATCTCCATCTAGATTATTTGATTTGTTATTTCAAACACGTATAAAGCACAAATAACATGCTCAAGCAGAAAAATATGTGCAGAGGGATCTCTAAGCAGAGACCAATTATCCAATATATCAGAAAATGGAGAACATCTTAAGAATTTTGCGATAGACCAAGGGTGTTTCATTATTTGCATTCTTTTTTCTTATTTTGTTAAATTCTAACTTGTGCAAAGAAAAGGACTACAAAAGCTTTCCTCCTGACAGCATCACTCTATGGTTGATCTTCAGGTGAATGTTAGCTTATGAGAACCTTATGATAATATAGTTAGTCAAACAAAATTCATAACATGTCAATGTGGGAATAACATAATGATTATTGAATGTAGTCGATGAACTATATATCTTCTAATAAAAAGTTAGTCTATTTAAGGAAAGACAAAAATATACTACTAATTCAGACTCAGACAACAAAACTCAGAACGAGACTTGCTCTAAACTTCAGTTAGTCTACTTCTATAGGACTTTTTAAATAAAAACTGGCAATAGCTTGATTTGAAAAGCCGAGCTGCTCAAACGAGAAGGCCTAAAAACACTTTTTTCCACGAAAGATAATCAAGACAGATCAATAAACCAAACAAGAAGGAGCATTGCTTGACAGTATTCAATGATTCAATGAGATGGAATATGAAAGTGCAAAATAAAATAAAATAAATGGACAAAATATAATTCAAATTAATTGCAATTCAACAAAGCATGCTAACTTAAAATTGATTGGTAAAAAAGAAAGAACCAAACCAAATGCAAAACAATGACATTCCTTTGCAGAAACAATATACTAGTGCCTAATTTCTGGGTATTGACTATTGAATTGAACTACATTGTAAAACAAGATAACCACAACAGAAAAATCTAGTAAAATTGCAAACATAAAGATAAACGTGGTATTACCCAGAGTTCAAAAGATAGGGTTTTTCAAGTTATATCTTTTGATAACCATAGCATATGCAATCTAAAATAACTTTTGATCAAATAAAATATAATCTTGTAAATAGGTTCATGAAGCTAAAGATTTGTCTACTACAGGGACTCATCAGGAATTATTCCAAGAAAATAATATATATATATATATATATGTATAATTGTTGAAAAATAAAACTGGGTCTTACTGTGTTTTCCATTGCAGTCAAGTTGTGGAGCTGAAACAGAGGTGGTGGATGAAGGGGCAACTCCCGCCAACTGCAACCGTCACGCGGTTAGACTACGCCGTTTTGTGGGATCTCCCCAGGCCCAGATATTATTATTATTATTTTTTGAATCTTCCCATCACGATCGCGAATTTCTTTCGGTTGTTGTATTTGAATGGAACGGTCCTTCATCGTTGTTAGAGATTAAGATTAGTTTTCGGGATTATTAATGGAAGGAGGGAAGGTTGCTTGTTACTCGCTTTACCCGATTATTAAAGATTCGATTTTTCATTTTATATTTATTTATTATATTTTACAGTGCTCATGTTTTGAGCGTTTTGGTTTTGACCAGACAACCTTGAAAATGACTAATGGAAATTACAAAAAGAAAAGCCTTATCCAGTAAAACATGAAAATTTTAAATGTGAATGCCATAGGAATTAAGGTTCAACAAAGAAGTCCGAGGAATTGCCATTAAATTGACGGGTTGCTTGCCTTAAGTCTGCGATAGTCATTAAAATATCGAGACGAAGTATCCACCAAACTACGCTCTCATCTGCAAAAGCTCAGAACAATTGTCAGACTACAAGTGACATTTTTCTGCTATAAATGTGGAGCTCCACCACCATAGTTCTACACAGAAACAGCACAATTCTTAATAGATTTGTAAAAGAAACTGAGATGCCAACCTACAGGTCCTACACCACCCTGAGAATGGCATTCAAGCTGAAAACATCAGTGTCATTCTTCTGCTTGATATTGTTTATTCAAGCAACTGGTTCAAATGTTGGTGGAATTTCCATCTACTGGGGTCAGAATGGTAATGAGGGCACCCTAGCAGAGACTTGTGTCACGGGGAAGTACGAATATGTGAATATAGCCTTTCTGGCAACATTTGGTAATGGCCAGACTCTCATGATAAACCTGGCTGGTCATTGTGATCCCTATAGCAATGGCTGTACTGGATTCAGCTCTGACATTAAATCATGTCAAGCCAAAGGGGTTACTGGGACGATCTTGCAAGGTACCTTTCAGGATATAGTAAGAAAGGAAAGAAAGTATACTTAACCGCAGCTCCTCCATGCCCATTTCCTGACGCTTGGGTTGGAAACGCCCTCAAGACGGGTCTCTTTGATTATGTTTGGGTCCAGTTCTATAATAACCCTCCTCGCCAATACACATCTGGCGATATTGGCAACCTTAAAGATGCATGGAAACAATGGAATTTAGATATCCCAGCGTACAAGTTTTTCCTTGGACTTCCTGCATCTCCTGAGCCAGCATGGAGCGGTTTCATTCCTGTAACTGATCTCATATCGAAGGTTCTACCAGCGATAAAGCATTCTTCCAAGTATGGCGGTGTTATGCTGTGGTCCAAGTATTATGATGATCAAAGTGGATATAGCTCTTCCATCAAGAGCCATATCTGAAATCTATAAAGTCACTCTCCTATGTGTATCTATCTCCACTTGTATAAATATCTTCTACTATTTATGAATGAATATTTTCAATTATGCAGCCTGTCTTCAAATTTGACAAGCACTCGTTTAACAGAATCCGCAAGACCTTTGCTCAAAATTCCTTCCTTGAGCCACAATCTTAACATTTGAGTCTTTTTAACAAGTGTGATGCCATGATATACTGAATATTATGCTCAGACTATGCTACAAGTTTCTTCAATATGTGGCTAATGTAATATTTTCAAACAAGTAGACAAAAGAAAACTTGAGTGCTTTAGATTATAGTAATTTGATTACATTCATCTAAATTTTCTGGTCTTTTCCTTACGGATGTGTCCAGGAGCACCTTGCCATTTATTAAAACATCCTTTCCCATAATTACAAATTTAACGGTGTTCGTTCTATTTTGCTTTGATTTAATTTCTACAATGTGCTTTTGTGTGCAACTTTCAACTTATTTTTTACTTAACACAATTTGAAGCTGACGTTTCCATTACAGTTTTTATATCAGGCATTCAGGCCCTTGATTTGAGTTTTGTCAAAGCTATTAGCCTAAACAGAGATAAAATTCAGATCAACCATTTCGAACATAAAAAGTAAAATGGTTTAAAGGCCATTTTCATGAGCAATTTTGGTAATTAAATTAAGCAACTTATGCTTGGTCATCAACTGTTGACTGGACCTAAGTTAAGATTAGTTGTAGGCTTCCCGAACAGCAAAGGGCCTTTGTGGTTGGTTTTAAAACTCGTTGCAATGTAAGTTTGAATTTGGGCAAAATCCCAAATCTAATGAAAGTTGGTTGGAAATGGCTTCAGAACAGGGGACTCGATGTTAGGGCAAAACATGCACTCAGAGCTCCTATTTCCGCCTAGTGTTCAAAGTTCTTGACCCGCCTAGTGTTCAAAGTTCTTGACCTCTAACCTGATGGTTTTTCTTAACACCCGGCATATTGGACAATAGTTTTGTCCATTTATGTACTATTGGCTAATGTGAACTCAAATGGCCTGAACGATTTTAAAGTTGTTGCGGAGCAGAGTATTTGAGGTCTTCGGTTTACACAGCAGAGCCATTTTATAGGTCAACCATTGCGGCGACTCGAACTTCTTTGAATCATTGCATTTGCATTGCACTAGTCCTATACTTGTATTCTGAACAGAATTAAAGGTCTCCCATAAAAAGACATGAAGGGCTGCGGACCAAAATTTAAACTGCTAATGAGAGCAACTTATAATTTTGATTTTGACAATATAACCTTCCATGCCTCTAGCATTTGTTGTCTTTCAAGACGTGAGTCACATTGATAGTCACCATATACAAGCAACTCAAGGAAAGGGGACAATAGTAAGGAGCCAAAACAACAGAAAATGCTGGAAGATGGTTCATGTAACGAGTGATCAGACATGTAGAGGTGGGGAAATTCATGTTATTTTCAAACAAGCCGTCTACGTTAATCCACAACCACATGCAGTCGATCCAGTGGGGTCTAAGTCATTAATCTTCTATAACAACACAGGACGTAGCCATCACGGAGGAAGGCTTTTTCTACTATATATAAGAGTGGTTTCTACAAACACCTCAAGCATCAAAGAAAAGGTTTTGCTTATAATCTCAGTAACTAGTGTAGGATCACCAGATCAAGATGGCACTAAAGCCAGCAAGACCACTAGCTTTTTTCTGCTCAATGGTTCTTTTACTGATTGTTAGTGTTGACGCTGGTGGAATTGCTATTTACTGGGGTCAGAACGGAAATGAAGGTACCTTGGCGGAGACTTGTGCCACGGGTAACTATGACTTTGTGAACATCGCTTTTCTTCCAACATTTGGCAATGGTCAGACTCCCATGATCAACCTTGCAGGTCATTGCGATCCCTACAGCAATGGCTGCACTGGTATAAGTTCTGACATCGAATCCTGTCAAGCAAAAGGAATTAAGGTAATGCTATCAATTGGAGGAGGAGCAGGTAGCTACTATCTTACCTCAGCTGAAGATGCTAGGCAGGTCGCTACTTATCTTTGGGACAACTTCTTAGGGGGAAAATCCTCTTCTCGACCACTGGGAGATGCTGCTCTGGATGGAATTGACTTTGACATTGAAGGAGGAACAAACCAACACTGGGATGACCTTGCAAGATACCTTTCAGGATACAGCAAGCGTGGTAAGAAGGTGTACTTAACTGCAGCTCCTCAATGCCCTTTCCCCGATGCCTGGGTTGGGGATGCCCTGAAAACAGGTCTATTTGACTATGTTTGGGTTCAATTCTATAACAACCCACCATGCCAATATACATCTGGAAATATTGGAAATCTAGAAGATGCATGGAAGCAATGGACTACAGACATTCCTGCAACAAAAATTTTCTTAGGACTTCCTGCAGCCCCAACTGCAGCTGGAAGCGGCTTCATTCCTGTAGCTGATCTTACCTCACAAGTTCTCCCTGCCATCAAAGGTTCTGACAAGTATGGAGGTGTGATGCTGTGGTCAAAATACTATGATGACCAAACTGGATACAGTTCTTCCATTAAAAACGATGTTTAATTTCTATATGGACTCTGGGTGTCATATTTGTGTATGAAAATCTTGTAACAATGCCACGAACTCTATGCTATAAATACATATTTTATCATGACGTAGTGCTTGTTTTATAAATGTGGGCATGAAATTGAAATTGCACCTTATCAACTTCTCCGTTAATGATGTTAAAAAAAAAAACACTTTGTTTTCCTGGCACAGCACTTTGTCTGCCAACCACATTGTACATTTTTCTCATAATTAAAGTTACAGCATTTAGCTTGGTACACACTTTTGCTTTTTTAAAGGCGATGAATAAAGGTGTACATCACTGTTTCTGACTTAGAAGATGGAAATTCATTGATAGCAAGAACAAGATAATAGAAAACCAATGGAAAAACAGATCTGAAAACTGAAGCACGTAATCCAAAATAGTACGGCCCAGGAAGAGATCTGGCCCTGGTTTGGACGGTGAGATAGCCTACCCTGGAAGGACCAATCTGTGCTTTTGAGTGTACAGTAATCAAAGGCTGGCATCGTATGACGCGACTCTTAACAGGAATTCGTTAATTATAACGTAAGGTGCTCACGTTCCCGCATCAGAAAAAACAGTATCTCCATTTTTAGGCAATTTCCTGATTACAACAGTATTTATCCTACTATTGTTTTGTTTTCCAAATTTAGGCCCTCGTTCTCCGGTTGGTGAGAGCTCCTTCCTTCAGATCCAAATCCAAACAGCTGTTATTTACCATAAGTTGAGCTGCTCCATTAACTTTATTCACGTGTCTTAGTTCTTTGACCTTCATTCTTTTTCCAAAAAAGGAGAACTTCTTTCTTCGTTCTTACCAATTCTTTGTTATGTAGGGTAATATCAATAGTAATATGAATTCAAATATGTACTAGTTTAAGACTAATCGACGATGGGGAGGACATTACCTGTTGAGGAAATGATAGACATATTTGCAGTTTTTTTTTTATATTTATGGAAATTATTATTTATATCTTAGATATTATACTTTGATCTACATCTAGGACAAAAAAAAAGTATTATTCTATTTTATCATAATTGATTTCAAGTGGAGCAAACTTGGAAGCCATGATCACCTTTTAAGTAAGATTTTTATTCAAGATTGATGAAATTCTTGACATGTCCATGAAAATAACATCCATTACATATAAAAAATATTATTACTAAAAAATCTTTGAAAAATTTGTGTTCATACCATAAGATTAAATTCTTTTGCTTTTTTATGGGAATATGGTCCTATACTGCCTTTAAGTTCACATGAAAGAACCATCCATCGGGATGGATTTACGATTATCAAAACCAAAAAATTATAGTAATAAAATAAAATAAATCTTCTCAATTACACAATAAACACATAACACTTTTTCAAAAATTTATTTCGAGTATTTAAAAAAAAAAAAAAGGAAAGAAATGAGAAAAATTGTCCGTCAAATGCTTAGCAGCATCAGGGAAAAGGCACTGTCTTTCTGCACAACTCCCATGCGGTCTCCAAAGGCTCTTTTACGGTTCCCCAAAATATCTTCACATTGTGTTATTAGTAATAAATTATCCTGCTACAAGGCCTGCTTTAAATCCATGTGCCCTACCTCATCATAGCCCTTCAAATGGCCCACAAATCTTGTCCAAGACATTGAATACTTAGATTTGAACTCAGAAGTTGGTAAAAGTGTAAATGACTTGGGATTCAATTTTTTAACGTGTCCACTGTCCAGGTAGAATACAACTACCTGGCTGTTTGCTTAACCGCGCAGGTTTCGCTGTTAAACTCAATCTAAGCCTCTCCTTGTGCGCTGTTAAGATATAAATAACCTAATTAAAATCTCCATTAAATCAGAATAAAAAAAGGGGCCAGAACATAGATAAAACATTGAGAGAGAGAGAGAGAGAGAGGGAGGGAGGTTTAGATCAAAATCAAGTCAAATCAGAATCCCCGTTAATGTGGTGTTTTGGTTGAGCAATGCAATTCCATTCGAAAATAAGAAACAAAAAAAGACCAAGCGGGGTTTCTTGGTTTGATTTGTATGTGTGTTAACCCCTCTCTCCTTGTGAATATTTTTGTCTTGTGATTCTCGTTTTCGATTTGCTTTTTTATAAAACAAAACGTTTTGGTTTTGGGCCAATGGATGTTGAGAAAAAATACGTTACTTCAGATGAGTTGAAAGAACACAGCAAGCCTGGAGATTTGTGGATCTCTATCCAGGGTAAAGTTTACAATGTTTCGGATTGGGCTAAGGAGCACCCTGGTGGGGAAATCCCGCTCTTGAATCTGGCTGGCCAAGATGTTACAGATGCGTTTATAGCATATCACCCTGGAACTGCTTGGCAATATCTTGACAAGTTCTTCACTGGGTATCATCTCAAAGATTTTAAGGTCTCGGAGGTGTCCAAGGATTATAGAAGGCTTGCATCGGAGTTTGCCAAAGCTGGTATGTTTGAAAAGAAAGGACGTGTGGCCCTTTGTTCATTAACATCTGTAGCTCTCATGTTTCTTGTTGTTCTTTATGGTGTTTTGAGATGCGATAGTGTCTGGGCTCATCTGGGTTCAGCCATGTTGTTGGGTATGCTTTGGATGCAAAGCGCATATGTTGGTCATGATTCTGGTCATTACCAGGTAATGGCTAGCCGTGGTTACAACAAGCTCGCTCAGCTTATTTCTGGGAATTGTTTAACCGGAATTAGCATTGCCTGGTGGAAATGGACTCACAATGCCCACCACATTGCGTGCAACAGCCTGGATCATGATCCTGATCTTCAGCACATTCCGGTTTTTGCAGTATCTTCACGTTTTTTTAATTCAATAACGTCTTACTTTTATGGAAGGAAGTTGAATTTTGATCCTTTTGCAAGGTTTCTGATCAGTTACCAGCATTGGACATTTTATCCTGTTATGTGTGTGGCAAGGGTCAACTTGTATGTTCAAACATTCTTGCTATTGGGTTCAAATCGGAAAGTCCCAGATAGAGCTTTGAATATAATGGGGATCCTTGTATTTTGGGCTTGGTTCCCTCTCCTGGTTTCTTGTCTACCCAGTTGGCCAGAGAGGATCATGTTTGTTCTTACCAGCTTTGCTGTTACATCCATTCAACACGTTCAATTCTGTTTGAACCATTTCTCGGCAAATGTATATGTTGGGCCTCCAAATGGCAATGACTGGTTCGAGAAGCAGACCAGTGGGACATTGGATATTTCGTGCTCTTCCTGGATGGATTGGTTCTTTGGTGGTTTGCAATTCCAGCTAGAGCACCATTTGTTCCCCAGGTTGCCCCGATGCCAATTAAGGAAGGTTTCTCCAGTGGTGAGGGAGCTTTGCAAGAAGCACAATTTGCCTTACAGGAGTCTGTCTTTCTGGGAGGCCAATCAATGGACGATTAGGACTCTCAGGACTGCTGCCCTGCAGGCGCGGGACCTGACCAACCCAGATCCAAAGAATTTGTTGTGGGAAGCTGTTAATACTCATGGCTGAGGTTTTGGTAATTTCTTGGCCCCAACTTACTTTTCTGATTCTCGGGGTACCAGTATCAATCCCTTCTGTTGTTGTGTTTAGAATGAGATTCCGTACTCTTATCACTATCAGATTTATGTGCCCTGCTTTTATATATGATTCAGATATTCTACCTTAAATTCTTTTGTTTTGCCCCATATACTAATAATTTTTTATAAATAAAATAAAGAAAAGAAAAACTAATTTTTTATATTACATCTTTGTTAATGCACTACTAAGTATTAACAATGACTTTTTTTCAGACTTATGTCTTTTTTTTTTTATAATGGCATAATTAAAACATTTTCTATTATAATGTGAACAAATATATAAAAAGTATATATTCTTTAATTTTCGCTAACCAAGCATTTAAACCGATCCAAATGTGAAAATAAAAAAAAAAAATCACACACAGACTATACTACATCAGTCTGCTTTCTCCTTGGCAAAAAGCAATACGTATAGATTTTCTTGCTACTTTTTTTCTATTTTGCTTACTTTATTGTCTGGCCAAATTTTTAACATGTAGTTATTCTAATTTTATTTTATAAAGGAAGTCACGATACGAGAATAAAGAAAGAGGCTTTAATTATTAAAATTTAAAATTTACAATTATTAAATATTATTTTTAAATGATAATTATATGAATTAATTAAATTAATTAATTTAAGCTGATATTTATAAAAAAATAAGTATTTTCTCTCTACCTATATAATAATTAAGCAAACGAGAATGATGAAGAAACAGAAAGAAAATTGGGAGAAGAAAATATATTTTTGTTGTAATATTCTTGTTAGACAGGTTTGGAATAGTGGATGGAAAGAATAAATTCCTCTAATATCAACTGGCCCAACCCGTAAAATAGATACGTAATTTTTATTTAGAAAAAGAAAATAAGAATTGTATGTATTTGGGCCAGTCCATAAGGAAATCATTCTCTGATTTGATTCGATCATTATCCCCATTTAGCTGCGTCTATCGAAACTCCGCCAATCACAACCAACTGAAACGAAAGGGACTAATTATTCGTTTATCCAAAGCCATTTTCTTTTCCCTTTCAGATTTTCTCGCCTGCCAAAGCAAATCTATCCTGGAAATTTCCTACTTTATTGTTCTGTAAAAAAAAGAAAAAAAAAAAAATGTCATTTCATGACCTTTCTTTCTAGTAATTCACGTTCTCTGCTGTAAAATTTCCTCTAAAATACTAACTCAAGATGGCATTTCTCATACCCTCCCCTGAAATTTCCACCGAGTCTGCAAAAATTTTCTCTAACCCTAACCCCACCCCTAAATTCCTCAAGAGCCTCATAATTTCAAGGAATGATGATGATAAAATTTGGTCAAGGGCTAAGGTTAGGGTTGGTCTTAAAGATATTGGTGCTAGAGTTTCAGGTTTGAATCAAAGCTTGAGGCTGTATGGGCAATTTTCAGCTCCAGTGAAGCAAGGATCGAAGCCGAGCAAAGAGGAAGAGGAGAAGCAGAATTATTATGTGAATATGGGTTACGCAATTCGGACTTTGAGAGAGGAGTTTCCTGACCTCTTTTACAGGGAGCTTAGTTTTGATATTTACAGGTTCGAATTTTTTTTCTTTTTTCTTTTTCTCATCATTTTTTTTATTCCCACTTGTTACCAGATTGCTTTGAAATAGAGGAAATAATAGAGAATTTTGTAGAATAATTCAAAATTTAAAGTTTTCTTGGCTTCAAATCTTGAAAATGTTGCATTAATCGAGAGAATAGTTACCCTAGGTATAATGTTTTGTTTCCCCTAGTGTTCCTTAGCAACTGAAGCGATTGGTTACTGTTGGTTTTCTGAATTCTGATGGTCAGAGGATAAAAGCAATGCTATCAGTCTGAATAGCGCATATGCGTGCCTTCTAAGCTTATGTTTTTGATCGAGTGGCATGTAATTTGATTTTCTGTAAATGTTACCTTTAATCTGAATGTCGATGGTTGACTGTGTGTGTGTATATATGTGCAATTGAGAAAGTTTTGGCGCTTAGCTAGAAGTCTCATGTTTGATCGGTTTTACAAGTTTATGATCAGCAAAGTTATGTTCTGTATGCATAGATGTTGCTTGCAGCTGCCTTCGCTACTGCAAAATCGCTTGCATGAAACTATATACTTTTGCATGTGACACCTTTGTATGCATATGAGAGAAAGTTTGCTTATTAGGTTGTTTGCCTCAAGCTTTTGTATTTTGAGCATCTTCATCATCATTAAATTTTATATGAAGTATGTGCTTGGACCTTTCGCTTTTGTCCGCATGTAAAACACCAAATCCTGACAAGGTGCTTCTCTGTTTAGGGATGATATTGTATTTAAGAATCCTCTCAATACTTTCGTTGGAATTGACAATTACAAGTCAATCTTTTGGGCACTGCGATTCCATGGGAGGATGTTTTTCAAGGCTCTCTGGCTTGACATTGTTGGTGTATGGCAGCCAGTGGAGAATGTCATAATGGTTCGCTGGACTGTCCATGGCATTCCACGAGTCCCATGGGAGAGCCGTGGTCGATTCGATGGCACTTCAGAATACAAACTTGACAAGAACGGTAAAATCTTTGAGCACCGAGTTGACAATATCGCACTAAATTCGCCCCCAAAATTTCATGTGCTAGCTGTGGAGGATATAATTCGATCCATTGGTTGCCCCTCAACCCCAAGGCCTACTTACTTTGAGATTTCATCACTTCATCTTCATCTTCATCTTCGTCTTCAACTTCATCTTCAGAGAGAACATAGTTCCACTTAGGCTTTTTCCAAATTTTGGCATATATTGTGTGTCATGGTGGTGAGCAAGATATTGAGCTATAGCTTGAAATCGTTCTCAATGCGCAAAACTTGGTTTAGATCACAAAGCCAGCACTTGCATCTGCTTGGCTTGAATCTGATAGGCAACATTGGGAATGATGGTATGTATTCTCATATTATGACCCCGAACAATATATTATAAGAAATGTGTAATCTTGTACAGTACAAATTACAGCCTAAGTAATTGTAGCATGATTGACTGTCTTCCTTGCTGAAGAGAGTGAAAGCAAGCAGCATCATCCATCAGAGCCAAGCACCCACCATAACCATCATATCTCTCTGACGATGGTATAAATTCACAACAATCATTTATTCGGAAACGACAACCACCGTTAGTTTTTATTTTTTTATTATTTAATTAATAAAATAATACTGAAACCACTGACGGACTGAAGCCTCTCAACAACCACACTAAATGCAACAGCTACTCCCTCTCCCCTCCAGGTCGAAAGTCGTTTTCCCTTGCGATTAACTCCAAAAATTCTTAAACAAATCTTCCATTCTCTGAAATTGCTTCTACATCACTTTTTTTTTTTTTTTTTTTATGGTTCTGCTTTCTCTCTCAAGTTTGGTTAGCTATCCCACCGAAAACCTAACCTCCAAATCTCCCCATTAATCCAATTCTTACTTCTTTCATTCATTTAATAACTGCACTTCACTTTTCTTTTCGTTTGTGTTTTTTTTCCTTTTTACGGTTTTGAGATTTTGGTTCTCAAAATTTATAAGAGAAGGTGACACAATGGAAGTGGAGTTACCCAGGGCTGATAATCCCGCCATGACGTTCGATGAGGTCTCCATGGAACGTAGCAAGAGCTTCGTCAAAGCCTTGCAGGTTCATTTCTTGACTACGTGTTTCTATCTTTTGCGAGCTGATCTGGTTAATTTTTTAAATTTGATTGTTTTGTAAAACTTTTTTTTTTTTTTTGGTTGACTTCAAAATCATTGCTAGATTGCTGACGGAAATGTGCTTTTTACCTTCCTTTTTTGTTATTTTGGCGTCCTAATAGGAAGAGCTCACGGTTTATTTTTTGAAGATCTTAGCATTTATGGCTAATTTAAGAGTTAGATATGTTAAAGGGCAAGAAAGTAGAGTTATAGCACTGAATGAATTTATGGTAAGTTAGATATACTTTTGATTGGATAGAAAATAATTTGTTGAATGGGGTGGTCTTATCTTGTTCATTGAAGTACAATGATTGCTTCATTTCCATTCCTGAGTTTAGAGCCGTAGTATTACTCAAGTAGAAATTGAATTAAATTTGAATCAGTTATGGAAAAGCTTTTTCTGAGACTATTATGTTCTATAATGTAAGAATATTATATTAGAAGAAAATTGGAAAGTGCATGCGTCTGAATATAATATCTACAGAAGTTGAGAGTTCTATTGGTTTGCTAATTTGTCCTCTATGTTGATTTCAAAGTTTGTCTTCATAAACTTTTGAGCTTATACATATTCAAAGCTTTCCGATGTTTCTTTGTTATACTACTTGCACTTTATAATTTGGATTCCTATGCCTTTTTGCAGGAGCTGAAGAACTTAAGGCCTCAGCTTTATTCAGCTGCGGAGTACTGTGAAAAATCATATCTCCATAATGAGCAGAAGCAGATGTAAGGCTACATATTTTACTTTAAAAAATGTTGCTTGGTTCATCCATTGTTTGTGTGACAGCCTTGTCATTTTCATGCAAGCAATACCACAAGTCACTTTACAACATGATTGCCTTACATGAGCCAAGCGGTGGCTTATCTTCATGATGTTTCTTATATCAAGCTTGCATGCTTATGCATTGGATTGTGTTTGGATTACTTTCATCGCTTCTCTTCTCATAATGCAACTCTTTTCTTTGTGGGATACAATATTAGGGTACTGGACAACCTCAAAGATTATGCTGTACGGGCTCTTGTTAATGCTGTTGATCACCTTGGCACTATGGCTTTCAAGTTAACTGATCTTCTTGAGCAGCAAACATTGGAAGTGTCAACCATGGAGGTAAAAGCATCTTGTTTAAATCAGGTAATCTCTTTGCACTTCTCTGGTTTAGTATGCTAGTACAAGAACAATATTGAATGGATGGGTCTGAACTTATTTATTTTGTTAATATTAGCAACTTCTTACGTGCCAAACATACACGAATAAAGAAGGTCTCAGGCAGCAGCAGCTGTTGGCATTTATACCAAGACATCACAAGCACTACATTTTACCAAGTAAGAGATAGAAGCCTTCTTTTCTGGAAGCTAATTAGTTAGTATGTTTTCTCATTCCCATTCCTTTTTCCTTTTTTTTCCCTGTTTGTTGGTTCTCTTCCATTGTGTTTCCTCTAAGCCAGATTCTGTAAACAAGAAGGTACATTTTAGTCCACAAGTACAGACAGATGCAAGGCAAAACTATTTCCAGTCTAAATTTCGTCTTCGGCCCGCAGGTATAATGTTTCTAAGCAGGCAGGAACTATTCTATTTTAGTTGTTTTCTGCATTGTTTGCAATATACTTTCTCTTAGGAAGAAGGTGAATATCATGTTACTTAAAAAATATGGTATAGATACGCCTGCATCAAAAACTCTTTCGTGGCACTTAGCCTCAGAAACCAAGTCTACTTTGAAAGGGACTTCACAAACTTTGGCAAGGTTAGTTGGCCTAACAGTTTCAATGTTGGATGGATAATGGCATTTTCTTTTCAGTGTAGTTCTTCTAATATTCTGCTGAGAGCAAAAAGTTTTTGACTTGCAGCAATGAAATGTCAAAACCTTTGGGCAATGCTTCTGAGGTTTTCCAGTTATTGGGTATGCTTATTACATCAGTAGCACACATTTGTGTTGTTATATAATAAAAGGCTTTGGATGTCAAGACTTGTATTTCGACTGTAATTCTTGCAGAGAATGGAGATAATACAAGGACAGAGTCTTCAGCAGCGCCTTTTCCTGATTCTAATGCACTCATGCCAACATTGGGTATCACAAATAGGGTAATGTTTAAATCGACAATAACACATGCATGCTAGACATCCTTTAAATTGACTTCTTTGTTAAAACCAGAGTTGGTGGATATATCTTGAAGTATTATCTTGATTGCTTTTAGTATGGCAGTTGATCTTTGGTTATTCATTTGGTTAGTGAGGCTTCTCTTTTCTTTTCCATTTGTGATTTCTGGAAAATGTTTAAATATCAACTTGTGTTAGGTTTTTTCAAGATTTGAAACTTTTATTATCTATTCAAATGATTCTCTAGGAACCAACTTCTGATCCAAAGTGGATAACTTGTTTCAGGTCTTGAGTATCTGTGTTTAATATTTGCCTATAGGCATCTGTATTCGCATGGATACTTTGAGTGCATGCTTGTCTTTATCTCATTTGGTTAATCAGATTTTTTATTGCGATTATATGTGCTCTGTGGTACAAAATCCGTATATGGTTGATATTCCTATATACTTGTTTGCATTGCATGCTTATGAAAAAGTCCTGTTTTTGCAGGAGTTGGAGGGATCCAAACCTTTGACGGCATTCGGGTCATTTGATAACCCAAGGCGCGAGATTATACGTGCACCTGTAAGGAACAAAAGCATGCTGTCAGCTTTCTTCGTCAAACAGAAAGCAACCAAGCTAAAGGCTGGATTTGTTGCATGAATCACCATTAGAGCAAGCCAATGACGACGCCACTATGTAAATCTCTCCTTTATGTCTATGGAATTTGCCTGTAATTATCTCCCTCGTTTTGTTTTTTAGTAGTCGATTCCTTCATCAGTAGTTTATCAATTGCTTGAGATGAAATTTTATTCCCTTTTTTTTCCCCCCAATTCTCTAATTTGGGTTTTTTAATAACGAGCAATGCGTATGAAATATCTAACAATGAAGATGAGTAACATTTTCCAATCCCATCAATAATTGCTTCAGCCTTGACCAATAACCTAATAATTTGATCGTCATCTTCAAGCTCACTTTTTCATGTGATATACTGGTAATAGGGTGAAAGTTAACAGAATTTTCGATGAATTATTCGTGAATATGATTGAATTTTATTTGTTTATGTTTATTTATTAAGCTTAATAAATAATTTTGAATATTATTTATACGTTCGGTTATTAAACGAATCAAATACAAACAATTCATTTATGTTTATGAATAAGTTTGTTTATTGTTTGTTTAAAAATCGTTTATTATTTCTGTTTGTTTATAATATTAATAAAATTATATTTTTATTTTTTACTTTAATCATATTTTAAAATTTATTTATGTTTGTTTGGATTTATTTATATTCATTTAAGATTTGTTTGTTTAAATTTATTTAATTATAATTTATTTATTATTTATAAATATGTTTATTTATATATGTTTATGAACATATTTATGAATATATTTATTTAATATTTATAAATGAATTTGTTTAAATTAATTGAACTCGAATATGTAAAGTGACAGGAAGTAATTTCAAGTTGACACGCTTACTTCTTAATTTACCAAGAATCTTCATAATTTTTCCATTTCCTATAATGAATTGTATTTCACGATGGCAATTGATGATTTACTCCTAATTTTTACGCGCGCAACTTAGAATGCCAAGTTTGATTGTAACCGGAAAGCAGCTCAAACCAACATTGAGATGCTAAATATGAAAAAGGAAAAAATGTTAATCATAAATAATAATTGGCTTATAGAAAAAGCCGGAAATAACGGAGAGAGATTCGGACTCAACACCGACAACCCGACCCACAATCATTCCTCTGTTACTGTTTCTTCCCACCACAAAGCTATTGTCACCGTCGTTTACAGATCCGATCTCACAACACTTTCCTTATATCCAAGCTCATACTCCCTCGGTTCTCTACTATTTTTTCTTCTTTTTTTTCTGCTTGAACTCTTTTTCTTACATGTAAACTACATAAACAAACTCTTTGTTTATGATCCGTTATATTATCAGCAACAATGTCATCATTCTTGCACCAAAGACCCATCCAGAATCCATTCTCAAACGCCCTCCTAATCTCCCCACGTTCTTCATCAACCTCTCAAAGACCTATCTCGATCTTCAGCCCAACAGGCCTAATTTTTCTCCTCTCTCTCATGGTAATCCTCGGAGTATTCGTACCCTGGTCAGGAATGACGCAATCCATGTCCTCTAACTCAAATAGGCCCTCTTCTATTTCCAAATGGAAAGATTACTCTTTGGCTGAAGCCGCATCGTTCGTCGCCAAAAATGGTACCGTAATTGTCTGCGCCGTGAGCCAACCTTACTTGCCTTTTCTCAATAATTGGTTGATTAGTATTACAAGACAAAAGCACCAAGAGAAAGTCCTTGTGATTGCTGAAGATTATGCAACTCTTTATAAGGTTAATAAAAATTGGCCTGGCCATGCCGTGCTAGTCCCACCCGCACCTGATTCACAAACTGTCCATAAATTTGGCTCTCAGGTTAAATTCCTGCTTTTCTTATCTGGGTTTTGCTTATGCAAATTTTTTTTTTTAAAAACTTTTTCAATTGATGCTGATTGGGTGCTTGGTCTAGGGATTCTTCAATTTTACTTCCAGGAGGCCTCGGCATTTGTTGCAAATTTTGGAGCTTGGGTATAATGTTATGTATAATGATGTTGATATGGTGTGGTTGGGAGATCCCTTTCATTATTTGGAAGGAAACCATGATGTTTACTTTACTGATGACATGGCTGCGGTATGTATGCTAACTTTGCTCTATGGTTTTTATTCTGTTTTGCTTTAAACATAGCTTAGTTTCATCTTTGGAAAGGTAGAACAGAGGAAGAGGGAGGATAAACAGTGCTCGGCGTGTTTTGTAATGTGTTAGTCAAGAATAATCAAACTATTCATTAAGATTAGGCCATTCTACTAGATTATAAAAAAAGTAATAAACTTTGGCTTATCTTAAGCAATTCTACTGTCACCAAGATTAACTTATGAATGCTAGTTAATTTGATTGTATGTAATGCAAGGCTATCTTTATCTCTTTCTTTTCTTTTGTTTTCTTTATCTGGAAATTGGGGAGTAGCAGTAACAAGAAAGGAGAGAATGGAAGATTATATCCTGTTCTTAACCTAATGCTCACCCATGACCTTAGACTCTAGGCTGCCATAAACTGGAAATGTTTTGCTGCCACTGTTTCTTTTCTCATAAAATTGCTTCATGCTTCTTATCTTTGGTTGATCAGGTGAAGCCTCTGAACCATTCCCATGGTTTGCCACCTCCAGGGAAAAAGGGTCGTACTTATATATGTAGTTGCATGATTTTCCTGCGTCCCACAGATGGAGCAAAACTAGTTATGAAGAATTGGATTGAGGAGCTTCAAGCCCAGCCATGGTCCAAAGCAAAGAAAGCAAATGATCAGCCTGCTTTTAACTGGGCACTAAACAGAACTGCTGGATTGGTATGTTTATGCATATTCTTGTCGTTACCATTTTATTGGTTGTAGTATATGCCTAATAGTTCTGATTTGCTACTTCTTTATTATTCATTTGTTAAGTGGAAATTTTGTGCCTTATTTGCATCCTGAATTGCCTTGACACTTACCTTTAAGTCTTATGTCTAACTCTTCAAGGTTCAGACAACATGCCTTACCAGTCCTTCATGCCATATTTTGAAAAGCATTGCTAATTGATGTACGTCATTTGATTTGTGCCGGACTTGGTGCTTTTTATATTATTCAAATGAATTCTCAGTCAGGTTTTTACATTGTTTCTTTTGGTAATCTGTGACATCGAAAATTGGCTCATTGAAATGCTAAGGAAATATCTATGGTTAATTCCATACATGGGTTCTTTAGAAATTTCTTTTGCCTCTATGTCCTACCTTCCATATGTCACCAAAACTATCAGGCAGCCCATTCATCATGTGACCTTCATTTCTGGTCCATTGGCAAATTGTGAATATTGGGAGTGTAAAGACTCTGGGGTGTGAGATCTGTGCTTCTATGAGCGTTCTCTCTCTCCCCCTCTGATATTTGCGAATTGATGGTGTGATATCATGTATTAAATATTTCTGGTAGTAAGACTTCATTTTCTGATAATCATGCATTGATGATATTTTCTGCAGGTGGATCTCTACCTGCTTCCCCAGACAGCATTCCCAACGGGAGGATTATACTTCAAGAACCAGACATGGGTCCAGCAAACCAAGGGAATGCACGTCATAATTCATAATAATTATATCACAGGTTTTGAGAAGAAGATCAAGCGCTTTCGAGACTATGGCCTTTGGTTGGTTGATGATCATAAGCTTGAGTCCCCACTAGGAAGATTATGAAAATTTTGGAATTTGGAAGACCTTATGCTTGCTTTCTGCAGAACCAATTACAACCTCAATGACCATGTAAGATGTGGAGCATACCATTTTTATCATCTTCCTTCAATATCATCTGCTTCTATGCTCTCAAATTAACATGGATCATTAGTAGCTGACAGTGCAGATGGACATGAATCATCAGCAGCTAACAGCGCTCATTTCCTGAGCAAATTGTAATATTTAAATAGGGTTCAATCAGAACAAAGTCCAAATATTTTGTTGGAAATTACTATTCTAACATTCCTTCCTGACCTGATGGATCAATCAGTTTTTGTCACAATGTTATTTCCTTGATATTATGCAAATGCAATTTGTTCTGTTGTATAAAGTCTGTATCTCAGTTAACAACTCTTAAACATTACAGACAATTCTTTGTTAGCTTCGCCAAAGTCTCCGGAGTGCCGAAGGCCAAACAAACAAATGGCACCATGTTTTATCGGTTAAAAACTGGCTGGAGTTCTGGAATCTATGCTACATGGACAGGGCACAAAAAACGGTGTGCGGCTATGCGGCGTCATTAAAAGTTGCTGTTGCTTCAGACTTACGTTTGTTGAGAAAAGCATTAACCAACAAGGGATCTGATTGCTAATATAGTACGGCCGCTTTCTCTTCAAGAGTTCAGGAAAGAAAATCGAGATTTGCGTTTGCCGGGAGTCGAACCCGGGTCTATTGCTTGGAAGGCAATTATCCTAACCGTTGGACTACAAACGCGTGGTTGCGTTGAAAGGCCAGAACAATCTATAAGTCTAATTATTTGTGAAGTGTCGGCCTAACAATAAATAAAAATTTGTCGTAGTCGTACTAATATATTTATTTCTCAAAAAAAAAAAAAAATTGGATGCTGTTTTTCTTGGTACCAAATATTGATTTAAAATTAAGAGATTAAGTCGTTACGAAAACTACAAAATTGTAGCTTTTCTCATTTTTTTTAAATTCTTTGGTCCATTCCAAAGTATGGGCATTTTAATAATTAGAAGGTTTGGAAATTAAAAATTTCGCTGGTTGTTCGGAAGTCCAAATTGGTAATATTTCTTTATACATATATATATATATAATTATTGTCTTTAAGTGTAAATAGAACAAAGCTAACCTCCAATCATTTGACTTTTCTTCATTACTTATACCTTATTGTACCATTATTATACCAATTGGTCTTAATCATTCTTACGTTATATTCTTATTAAAGTCAATAATCAATTTATTTTTTGGTTGTTATGAATTTATTTTATAAACAAAATAATGACATCATCCCTCATATTAATTAAATATTTATTGGTCACAAAGAAAATTAAATATTTAACGGCCCATTCTGATAATTAAAAAAAAAAAAATTGTAGGAAAATTTGATTTATTTAAGGCTAAAGAAAATAACGGGCAATTAAAGACAGGGCACGCTAAAATGAAGGGGGTCATGGATTCATGCTCGACCAATGTTGCAGCTCGCAAGCGGATTCCGACTTGTCTCTAGTCTTGACTCCTTCAGTCTTTCAAGTTTCACCCATTGCTTGTCACGTCAACCAATAATAATAATCCCTTGCCTATTGCTTTATTATGCGTCACTCTCTAATCCAAATCCATTTTTGACGATTCAATGGCACCGTTCAAATCCATCTAAATGCCATTGCAGCCATGCCCCTCTTTAGTCACGATACTCACGACAGTCACAAGCTTTCTCTCTTTTTGTAATAAATAAACACTAAAACAACCACTTCTAGTTTTGTCTCTGCTTTTTTTTTTTTTTTGGGTGTGCTTCTTTTTGTTTTGTTTTGTTTTTTTTAAATTGAGCTTTTTTTTTTTTTTTTGAGAATGTAAATGGGTTCCTTAGAAAGTGGGATTTCATTGAAGAAAGCCGGTAGTAGAAACGAAAGAAGCACGTTTTTGAGCCGACCCAGATCGAGATTTTCTCGTTTTTTGCTTTTCAAGAAGCTAGATTATCTCCAATGGATTTGCACAGTTGTTGTTTTCCTCTTCTTTGTGGTGTTTTTTCAGATGTTTTTACCTGGTTCAGTAATGGACAAATCTCAAGATTCCCTTTTGGATGATAAAGATTTGGTATTTGGAGAATTGAGGTATTTGAAAGAGATGGGTGGATTAGATTTTGGTGAAGGTATCAGATTGGAACCCTGTAAGCTTTTAGAGAAATTTCAGAGAGAACAAAAAGAAGTAAATTTGCAATCTTCATCTGGTTTCAACCACAGTCAACACCGTTTCCGCTATAGAAAACCTCAGCTTGCACTGGTTAGTGAAAAAAAATTATTTTATTTTTGTTCATTCAATCAGTTTTTGTTATTGGCTTTCTTTCTGCATGCTGTTATTTATTTATTTTTTTTTCAAAATTTATACTTGAAGGTGTTTGCCGATCTATTGGTTGACCCACAACAATTGCTAATGGTGACCATTACAACTGCATTGAGAGAGATTGGTTATGAAATTCAGGTAAATGACATTGAGTTCTGGACACTTCATATTTTGAGTTTGATTTTTCCTTTTAATAGTTGAATTTTGTCTGTTGAATCAAGAACACTCACTCTTTATGTCTTTTCAGTTGATAACTTAGTGCCTATATTGATGGGCATGTTCGCAGTGACTATGACTAACAAAATTTAAGAAAATAAAGTTACAGTATCTTCTTACCTTCACGTGTTTTAATTTCTTTCTGGAAGGTCTACTCCCTTGAAGATGGTCCTGTGCACAATGTTTGGCAAAGCATAGGAGTTCTAGTCACCATTCTTAAAGTCAATTCCGATGAGATTGGTGTTGATTGGCTGAAGTACGTGTGTTTTTTTTTTTTTTTTGGTAATCTCTAATAAATCCACTTTAAGATTGATATTTTATATGACAATGTGTTGTTGAAGGTCTCCATGTTATTTATAAATAGTGAACTATTTATATATGTATCACATTATGTACTTCAATTCTTATATCAAGAAGTTTGATTAAGTGATGTGGAGTTATTTTGCTTTCATTCTGGATAAGCTATCATTTTCTTCTTCAAAATGGAAATTTTCCCGTATAGATTTTTTTTGGCATCTAATTATGATATATCGTTCTACAGCTATGATGGCATACTTGTCAGCTCTCTTGAGGCCAAGAGTGTCTTTTCTAGGTAAGATATGTTATTCTATTTCCTCTGCAAGATAATATTCCTAGTTCCAAATTCTTCTTTTGTTTTTCCCTGTTTCCTATTCCATTCTCTTCCTCGTAGACACTTACTGGTTTTTCCAGTGAAGAAGACTGCAGAAGTTTGAATTTTGGCTGATGTTCAGCTAAAATACTTTATTTTTACTTTTTCATCTGGCAATGCATTGTATCTATTGCTTTCAGAAGTTTAAGATTACTTCATCATACATGCTGAAGACATTAATTTGTTTTACTATTTTTTTACCATGTATGTTTAAAAAGATTCCACTGGAAGTGTTGCTTGTCTGAGTCAATTAACATGAATGAGTTTACTTGTTACAGTTTTATGCAGGAACCTTTCAAGTCTCTTCCACTTATATGGACCATCCATGAAAGAGCTCTCGCTGTTCGTTCTAGACAATACACTTCAAGTGGGCATATTGAGCTTGTGAATGATTGGAAAAAAGTTTTCAACCGTGCTACTGTTGTTGTCTTCCCAAACTATGTGCTTCCGGTAATATTTATTAGATAATCATTTCATCATCAGTTCATTGTTAACATATCATTAACTAAAAATGGTGAAAGGATATAAGTTTTATTTTGTTCTATTGAGAAGGTCTGAACTATGGGATAAATGCATGCAACTAAGTGATAATGCTCCTATTTATTAGAAAATATTATAGTAACTGGTTTATGTTCTGTTCCAATTTCTACTTCAACACCTAGTTCATTTGACTTTAGTTTCCCCTAATGCCTGTGCTTCTAAGAGTGGGTCTTAACTTGGGATATTTTTCTAGTGATTTGATTTCTTTCTCTACCTTCTGCAGATGATCTATTCAGCATTTGATACTGGAAATTATTATGTTATTCCTGGTTCTCCTGTTGAAGTCTGGAAAGGAGAGAATGCAATGAATTTATACAAAGATAATCAGCAAATGAAGATGGGTTATGGACCTGATGAAGTACTCATTGCAATTGTTGGAAGTCAATTTATGTACAGGGGCTTGTGGTTGGAGCATGCCCTTATTTTACAGGCTTTATTACCACTCTTTGCTGACTTTTCATCTAATAATAATTCAAACTTCCATCCCAAAATCGTTGTTTTAAGCAGTGATTCAATAAGCAACTACAGCACGGCTGTTGAGGTATTGACATAATCATTTTGTAGAGTGCTGTGGTTAAATTTATATATGGACATAGGTTTCTATCTTCTTATTAATTTTGCTACATTTCACATATATTCCTTTCACAGAGAATTGCTCTTAACTTAAGATATCCAAGTGGTGTGGTGAAGCATGTAGCTGTTGATGGAGATGTTGACAGTGTTCTGAGCATGACTGACCTTGTGATATATGGCTCTTTCCTTGAGGAGCCATCATTTCCTGAAATTTTGATAAAAGCCATGTGCCTTGGGAAACCAATCATAGCACCTGATCTCTCCAATATTAGGAAATATGTAAGCTTCTATTGCTCTTTCCTGTTCATGCATATTCAGGTTCATTAGCCAAATTACTGACTTTGTATTGGCAATGACAATTAGGTTGATGACAGGGTAAATGGCTATCTTTTTCCTAAGGAGAATATTAGAGCTTTGACACAGATCATATTGCAAGTGATATCAGAAGGAAAATTGTCACCATTGACGCACAATATTGCTTCAATTGGGAGAGGAACTGTTAAAAACTTGATGGTTCAGGAAACTGTTGAAGGCTATGCTTTGCTACTGGAAAATGTTCTTAAGCTTCCCTCAGAAGTTGCACCTCCTAAGACTGTTATAGAAATTCCTTCAAAGTTGAAAGAAGAATGGCAGTGGAATCTATTTGAGGATTTTCTAAATTCCACATATGAAGACAGGAGTTCCAAATTTTTAAACAAGTTGGAGGAGCAGTGGAACCATTCTCGAAGAGAGAAGTTTGGTTCGTTAATTGCTACGGATGATTCATTTTCATATGAGATTTGGGAGGAAGAAAAAAAGATGCATATTTTGAATATTAAAAGGAGACGAGAGGAGCAAGAGGTAAGAATTATTCTGGGCAATAGGATGTTATCCACAAATTTAGTTGAACAATTTCAGCAGTCTTTGTTTAAATTGATACTCAATGAAGTTTCACGCTCTTTCAAATGTGTTTTAGTTGAAAGATAGAACTGAGCAACCTCGTGGCACCTGGGAGGATGTATATCGAAATGCAAAGAGGGCTGACCGTGTGAGGAATGACTTGCATGAAAGGGATGAGAGAGAGCTTGAAAGGACTGGTCAACCATTGTGTATTTATGAACCTTACTTTGGTGAAGGAACATGGCCTTTCCTGCACCAAAATTCTCTTTATCGTGGAATTGGATTGGTGAGTTAGTGAAGGCTTCATATTGGGTTTGTATTTCGGTTTTATTCCACGATTGGTTTACTTCAAATGAAATTAAGAATTTTTAGAGAAACTTATTTTAGACAATTGGATACCCATTTCACCTTTGATGAAAGAAATAGATGTTGTAAAAAGAAGAGCATGCATGTGCTATAATCCTTAATTTTGATGAATCTGCATAAAGCAGTGGTACTTGTATCCTGTAGTTTGTTTTAAATATGTTCAATGGGTGTTGCAGTCCACTAAAGGTCGAAGACCCAGGATGGATGATGTTGATGGACCGTCTCGTCTGCAACTTCTTAACAACCCCTACTACCGAGACATTCTTGGTGAATATGGGGCCTTTTTTGCAATTGCTAACCGGATTGACCGACTACACAGGAATGCCTGGATAGGGTTTCAGTTGTGGAGAGCAACGGCTAGAAAGGTATGGGAATATGCCCCCCCCAACCCCTGGCCTTTCTTTTTCTTGTTTCTTTTTTTTATTTTTTCCTTAAGAAAGCTCATCTACCTCTGCATATTAAGCGTATTTTTCTTTTTTCTTTTGGATTATTTGGTGAGAATTATGCCATTTGGCTTAGCGACACCTTCAATGAAATATATTTTGTTCTTTTATTTGTGCCCTTGACTCTTTCATATCTAATTGTGGGACAAAAACAGGCATCCTTGTCTGAAATTGCTGAAACTTCATTGTTAGACGCAATCGAAAAGCGCAAGTATGGTGATGCGCTATACTTTTGGGTTCGGATGGACATGGATCCAAGAAACAGCTTGCAGCAGGACTTTTGGTCGTTTTGCGATGCTATAAATGCTGGAAATTGCACGTAAGAGCTGTAAAGTTTATCGTTTATTTCAAATGCAAAAGTATGGAATTTTACAAAATGAGTATATATATTACTGGCATATTTACTTCATTTATCATTCCATTGCAGGTTTGCATTCTCTGAGACTCTTAAAAGGATGTACGGCATAAAGCACGATTTGAATTCTTTGCCAACCATGCCTGAAGATGGAGGCACATGGTCTGTGATGCAAAGTTGGGCTTTGCCAACAAAGTCCTTCCTAGAGTTTGTCATGTTTTCAAGGTTAGAGTTGTCTCTGCATGAACTGTTTAAACTATGGAATTTGTAAACTTAACATATCTCATTTGCAGGATGTTCGTGGATGCATTAGATGCAGAAATGTATGATGAGCACCATCAAAGCGGTCACTGTTATCTGAGTTTCTCAAAGGTAACTTGCCTATTTTGATTGATCTTCTATTTCAGATAATATATAAATTCAAGTGCATTATTATTAAAAAATTCCTTTGTAATTTTTTCACAAGTGAATCAATTCTGCAGTATTCAAAGTAGTAATTGTGCTCTACAGGACAAGCATTGCTACTCACGGGTGCTTGAGCTGCTTATAAATGTTTGGGCATACCACAGTGCACGGCGGATGGTATATGTGAATCCTGAGACTGGTGCAATGCAAGAATACCACAAGTTCAAGGGTCGAAGGGGTCAAATGTGGGTCAAATGGTTTTCATTCAACACTTTAAAGGCTATGGATGAGGATTTGGCTGAGGAAGCAGATTCCGACCACCCAAAACGACGATGGTTATGGCCATCAACAGGTGAGGTTGTCTGGCAAGGTGTACTTGAGCGAGAGAGAAATCTCCGCAACCAACAGAAGGAGAAAAGGAAGCAAAAAAGTAAGGATAAACAAGAGAGGATGAGGCATAAACACCATCAAAAGGCTTTAGGGAAGTATGTGAAACCTCTTCCAGAAGACATGGGAAATTCAAATTCAACATCAAATTAATTTCATGCGTGTCTTGCATCCTTGGCAGTAGAATCTAATTTGATAATTCTTTAATTTTTGATTTTTTTCCTTTTATGCCTTGTTTTTGTTAGAAAGGATGCATTATTTGTGTACATGTGATTATTTTTGTATGTAGCCAAAGGCATGCTTCTGGTCATTGAGGTTCATGAATCGCCCAAATTGTATACTAGCTTTCCTCTCCCCTTCTTTTCTGTGACCAATTTCAATGTCTATTCCAATACTTCTCTTTCTACCCATGGAATTAATTTATGTGAGCTTCGACCACTAGTATGGGAAATGATAGGGTAACAGTGACACCCTTACTTTGATCAAACAAGGCTGTCCGTCTTGAAAAGTGGCCAAGGTTCATGTAAGAGGACAGTTAAAATGCTGTTATCACGTGAAAAATTACTATTAGCATCCACATACAGGGGAAATTGATCACAAAAGGAACACCTTGTTGAACTTTAAAAAAAAATGAATTCGGCAATATACATCACTAATCAATCAATTATGATCATGTTCTTAAAATAATCACCTAATTATCAATTTTGCTGATTTAGTCGCTAAAGTTTTTAGTGCATGCTGATATTGTCAATTGTTAGGCCTCATATTGTCACCCATTAGGAGGATAAGACAAGCAGTTTAAGTGTTAAACTGAAAAAGAGTAATAAAACAAAACACCAGAAGTAGGTGTTATATTGGTTGAACAAGTAAAAATCTATAGCTACATCACTGATCTATACTTTCAAGCTACTGTGCCCCTAAGGGGTTTGACTCCTATTACCTTAATAGAATTCAAAGATCACTGCTGATGAAACATCATACTCAGCATATCAGAATCTTGGAGCTGCAAATCAAAATACATCACATGTCAAAAATTAATAAGAGAACCAAAAAATTAGTAACACTATTATGTAGCCTACCTCCACCAATGGTTGCTTCAGGAAGTCGTTCAATTGAATATTTATGCTGAGTGATATACATGATTGGCACACCAGGGACCTGCCAATAAGCAAGTAAATTTTATTCACCAGAGTTTGGTTTCAAATGCAGTGTCAACTCCAGTAATTAGTCACACCTTACGTATCCTTCGTTTCAAATCTCGATCACATGTAGCAACAATAAAGCATTTGTGCTGTTTCCAACAAACAGTTCATATAAGTTAACAAGAAAATAATATTAAAACACTATAATAACCATTTGCAGAATGCATAAACTTCAAAATTGAAAAAAATATACATTAAAAAAAGGAAATAAAAATAGTTATAAATTCAAAATAACAACATGCATGTCTTCTTTACATGACTCCCTATCCATACATTTACTGAGAAAAAATATGTGAAGCAAAGCAAAAAAGAAATCTATGCCTAGCTGTATAAACTCTAGCAACATAAATATATAGCAACAAGGATTCAGCAGGCTAGAAGTTATCCCAGATCGTAAACACAAAGCCAAATTAACAACTAAGAGAGGTCCTAAGATGTTACAATAGGCCATCCATAATAGTCAATGTTATTTCGTATGTTTTCTTCAAAATCAGAATGTTGATTGCACAAGAAACATAATATATAGAGTCTTTGAGGACCTCAATACAAGTACAAAAATTTCACATCCTAAGAAGTCCATAGCTATAAAGTTAGATACTTCAAATCATGTTTCTCTAATGGGAAAACAAATATGAACAGAAAACGTTAAGGCTTGATGCTGGTTCCTCTTGATTTGTTCTTATTACCCATGATGCAAGACTATCTTGCATCCTTAAAACTGTGCGTTTATAGGCCAAAACATCATGATAAATATTTTATGGAAACAGATAAAATAAATCCTTAAAGATTTTCTTTAATAGCAAAAAACCAGGTGAGAAATGAGTGATGCTAGCATACAAGTGCATATAAGACTAAGTAAGTTCATGCCTGTGTAACTCTCTCAACAATACAGTCATCAGCATAGGTTCCTTTATGACTACATGGCAGTCTTTCAAAACGAGGATCCTTAGCAATCCTGCCAAAGAGTGAGATATTAGAACACTTATTATTAGCTGTAATATGGAAAAATAAGGATATTGAATTACACAGAGATAGCCATCATCACCATCTAAATAAAATTAAGTATAAAATAACATCAGAGATGGTTGTTGAACTAAATCATATATCACACTACTAATGGATGAAATCAAGGTTCCAAAGATAGATTATAGAAGAAATTAAGAACTAAATTATCTTAGATGCCTTGAGGCCATATAGTCAAATAAGATATTGCAAAGGGATATTGCAGATAAAGGAATATGGCACTTTACCTCAGAGCTACTCGGTATTTTTGGCCTAACTTTTCAAGCTCAGCCATCACACAATCGGTGATACATGGAGTACCTTCAAATACAAACCATAGACAGATTCAGGAAAAAAAAAAAAAAGGCAGGATCTTTAACTAGAAATATAATTAAGATAGAGATGACCAAAATTCAACTTTATACACTTTTCAAATCAACCTAGATGCATATCGTGAACAAATACTCATAATTACAATAAATTAGAGTAAAGCTCCCGGATGAATAAAGAAAATCGTGACACTAAACATCAAAGATAACTACATATTCAAAGTAATGGTCGAAACGTGAAAGAGAAACCAACTCCACAACTCACATTTAGCATATAAGCAGTCCATCATTCCCTTCTCCAGATCCAACTACCAAAATTAAAAAAGAAAAAAAAATAAAGAATTTTAAAAAAAGAGGAAGTAACCAATGGCTCAAAAGAAAAAGAATCATAAATAAATGGGCATGTGGATTGAATTAACATTAAAATTTTTACTTTGCAAGAGGACCATAACCCTTTTATTACATATCCAATTTTACCATCATAATTAAATTAAAAACAAAAAACAAAAAAAAAAATTCAAGAGGGCAACAAATATAAGCACTGACTTTGTTCTGGATGGAGAAATTGATGAAGTTGGTATCCACCAAAACCCGATAAGGCGGTCCCAAGGAGGTGTTGTATGTGAAGAAAAGCGCTGAAGAAACATTGGGCCTGATTCACATATCAGTCAAAAATATTGAAAGGAATTGATAAAACCTAAAGTTCTTAAAATCAAAAATTTTTTTAAAAAAATGAAGAATTAGAATTAGGGTACAACAATAGAAATAAACTTACACGTTTCTGGGGAGTTTTTCCTTGCTTAGGTCTTTCTTGTTAGGATTCAAAACTTGTTCCTTGTAACTGAAATTTTACAAAAAACAAGAGTTACTCCTGGTGATTAAAACAGTAGCTAAAGTAAATCAGAGAGTAAAAGAAACAAGAACTTGCTTTTTAATAGCTTTTTGAGTGACTATCTTCTTCATGGCAGCAAATTTTGGAGCTTTTTTTGCTTTTCCCATGGCTTCAAATTTAGACTTATAAATTCAAAAGCGCTGGAAATCTTGAAGCCTAACAGTAACAATTTGGAACACTTCAGAGATTTTCTGTAAAAAGAGGTGAGTTATAGGGTTTGGTTTAGGTCGGTTAGACTGAGACTGGGGAAGAAGAAGGTAGAGGGCTCGGTGACAAACACGAAAGGAGTCGAGCCCAGGGCTAGCTATTATGGGTGTGAGTGGAAATTTGAAAACCGACCTTGAATTGGGTTGGGCTTAGGTTGGACTACCTAAATAAAAGCCCAAAATTTTTAAACATTGGACTATGGGCCCTTGTTTAGCCCAACCAAAAATTCAAGGCCTTGATCCTCGACAGCTATCCCATAACGGCGTAAACGCTAGAACAGAAGACAAATCTTTGTCCAACAAAGCCTCACCCATGACATCATGCAGACGTCCACGTGGCAGACACTCCAGACATTTCGCTGGAAAGGAACACTCGAAAGATCTGGAACTGAGCTGAGAGGAAGATTTTTAAGTTGTAATAATACAATAATCAGGTTTTTGGCTTTGCACTGCAACTATAAAGGGCGAAATCTAACCCATTTTCACTCTCAGATTAAAGTGAATTTAGTCCAAACAAAATCTGATTTCATGAGACAGAACACGAGAACTTAGTGCAAACTTCTTGCCTTTGGGTTGGAGGATAGATTCGAGCCGAGAACTGAGTTAGTTGGAGTTGCGGAACCGTTTGGGTTGATTTTTCCTTTGTTTTTGATCAAATAAACTCTAAGCAATCTTTCTCGTCTCTTCTCTATTTGCTTTTCTAAAATGATAATGTTTTTGACTTTTTTGTTTGAAGTAGGTTAAAATGTCTGGATGAACTTGTCATGACTTGGGAAACTGTTCCTTAGAAAATGGGATTTTTTTTTTTTTTAGTTTTCTGTAATTTATGTTGTTTTACCCTTAGGCTGAAGTATACATATGCAGATATTTCCTGTTTCAATTATAGCTTTGAAATGTTGAGGATAGTTTATAGTATGATGTAAATTTCATTCAAGTGATATAAGTACGTCTTTGACTCTTTGTTCATGTGATAGATTTTTCAGTGGCTACCAATTTGCTCTTCTTTGCCGTTTGTGACAGTTTCCATGCTTTTCTATCTTCAGGGTTATCCGGTGATTTTGCTTTTGTTAGCCCTGGTTGTCCTGTGAGCAACCTATCACACCAAATTCTGAAGAAATATCAGGCGTCAGTTGCTTTGATAAAGTCTGTTGAAAATGATGCCTGTCTACAGATACGTGGATTCGAATCCTCACCACAGAAACCAAGCGCCTTTCCCTCAACATTATTCCCTGGTATTGAGGCTGTTCCGCCTCACTTGAAGGTGGATTCATCTAAACCTCCCATGATGTATGAATATTGGCCTCGTAGCAGCAATTATGGGTACTCTGTTCCGTGTCATGATTGCTGCAATCTTGGCAACTTCCCTGGTTACTATAGTTTCAGGCCTCCTTACCCTCATTTTGCACCACCACCAACATTTCACCATTATCCAAATTATCCTACATTTCCTGAAGGTTACCCTGTTTATTATTATGTCCCTCCTCCACACTATTCAAATGAACAGCGTAGATATGAATATGACAAGGATGCACACACAAACTGCCATTACTGTGGGTGTCCTAGTCATCCTTACAACCAGAAAAATGATAGAAGTTTAAAGATTGAAGAGCAGGAGCCTGATGCTGAGAAAAAGGAAGGTGATCCAGTGGTTCCAATTCAACCAAGAAGTTATCCATATCCAATTGTGTGGATTCCACCTGAGTATATGAAAAATAAGGAATATGGGAAACGTAATGATCAGCCAGAGGTGAGTGACTGGGAAAAGGCACCTTGACATGTGAAGCCTTCCAAAAGCTTGAAGCCTATTGAACAGCAGCCAAAAGTTTGGAATGGCCGGTTTCCACTTGACATGAATGGTTTGAAATCTTTGATACAGGGTGAAGGGGAGAAAAAATCACAAAACCAACAGAATGAAGACAAAATGATGCAATTTCCATTCCCTATCTTTTGGGTGCCTGTTGATGGGAAACAAGAAGAGAATGAAAATCAAGATAAAAGTAAGATGATAACTGCTTCAGATCATTCTAACCAAGCCCCAGTCAGTTTTGAGTTTATTCCAGTACAAACTTCTGTTCATGATGTTGAAATTGGACAGACGTCAATCAAACAAAGAGATTTCTCATAATGAGAATGCTTCTGAGACAATGGGGAAAACTGCTAATCCAAAATTTGTTCCCGTAAAACAAATGGAGGTGCACAGGAAGGACAAGTCTGAAGGGACTGAAAAGAGAGGGAGAGATATAAGTGTGAAGCGCATTGAAGATACTGCAAAAAATGAACTTGGTGGGACCACAGCAAAAAGAAAATCGCTGTCACCTCCAAAAACATCCAAGTTGCCTCCTGTTTGTCTGAGAGTTGATCCCCTGCCAAAGAAAAGAAATGGTAATGGCAGTTCAAGGTCTCCTAGCCCTCCTAAAGGAGAAGCAGAAAACACATTGACAAAGGCGTCCACTGCACCAGGGTTGAAAGAAGATTTTACCGTAAATACACAAAATCTGAATGGTAGCCTTGATAAAGTAGAACCTGGAGGACAGGAGAGAAAAAATATTCAGGTGATGGAAGAAAGATCCACGGAGAACAAGGCTGGAGAATGTATTGGAGCAAATCATGCTCAAGTGTTAGGAAACTTACCTGTTGACTTCCAAGAACTGTCTGGGAAACCAACTATAGGAAGAACTGAAAATGATAGTCATGAAAGTAAAACAGAAGAGGGCAAAGATGCAAGCTCTGAGGAAGTTATGGGAGTTGAGAAGGCAGCTGACACAATTAAAGCTACTAATCCAGATGAATCAGCTTGTGGTCAAAGCATTGCAGAAATAAAAAGGACGGAAGCAGCGAAGCTCATCCAGTCTGCCTACCGAGGATTTGAGGTGAGAAAATGGGAACCATTGAAAAAATTGAAGCTAATAGCTAAAGCCCGTGAGCAAGTGAATGAGGTCAAAAATCATATTCAAGCTCTTGAGTCGTCGTCTGATCTAAGCAAAGATGATAGGCAGAGACTGTTGATTGGAGACACAATAATGAGTCTTATCTTGAAACTGGATACTATTCAGGTATTTATACGACTGGTTAACTTCATGCTGAAAACTTGTATTACTCATATGCATTATCTGCTACATTTATTTTATTGTAGATGAGCCATGCGGTATGTTATATTTCTTGGGCACGTAGCAATATATATATACACAGTATGTTATATTTCTTGGGCACATAGCTATATATATATATTATCTGCTACCTGCTATTATGTACCTCATATTATGTATCAATAATAGATTTTGATCTGTTATTAGTAATTCATTAATTATTAAAACATACAAAGTATTCATAAATGCCAATATATGGGAGCTACTGATAAAGATTGCTTATCATTTTGAGATATGCTTACTCAATCTAGGTTTATGTTCCTGATTTTCAGGGTTTGCACTCAAGTGTGAGAGAAGCAAGGAAATTATTGGTAAGGGAGCTTGCGACTCTGCAACAAAAGCTTGACTCTCTATCAAGCAAGTGGGCCGAAGAAAAGGCTAGGGAGTTGGCTACTGCTGAATCTGCAGATCGCCCTATGGTTGATGCTTGTAGAAAAGCTAGCATAGAAAAGGAGAGTAAAAAGGTATCAGCAGTTTGCATAGGCTCTTTTGAGGATGCTAATGAAGAAGGAAACGATATCAAAGAGCGACATCAGGAATATATTTCACGTATGGCGGATGAGGAAACTACAGAGCCTGTCAACGTCGACCAAGCCTTGGATGAAAAAATAGAGAATGAAACAACAGAAGTGACCTGTGATTTTGAGTGTCACACATCACCAATAATCCAAGATAGAGATGTGTCTCCCAACGTTCAGCATTGTACAAACCTGTCATCAGTTCCAGAGCAAATGTCCAGTGCTGATGAGGTCATGGAAGTAAATGATCTAACAAGAGAGGGAAAACCTGGGGTGGTTGAAGTGAATGATCTGATTCTTGTGAATAATAACAGAATAGAAGATAAGCTCGGGTCATTGCCAAAGGAAGTGACTGACCAAGTGGATGTTGTTTGTGAACTGGAGAAAGAGATTGGAAACAACAATAGTGAGAAAGAGTCCAATATGCCAATCAATACAGCTTTACCAGCTGAAGTGGAGAATTTGAGGTGCACCGAGAAAGACCAAGAGATTGATGTCGGAAGAATTGCCGTTTGGAATAATTGATGAAGAACCTGCCATTTCGGGATTTGAGAAGCGTGAAACGCATGAAACAGGGGAAAGTAAAACATTGTCTTCAAATCAAGGTTGTTTTACCGAACATCAAGCAGATGAGCAATTATTAGAGGCAACATCAGGCATCCGTGTAAATGTTCAGAACCAGAATGAATTCAACAAGGATCCTGAACTTGAAGTGGAGGTGGAGCAAACACAAGGAAAAGAGGTAAACAATGACAGCAAATTTGAATCTGTTTTAAAACCAGAGAAAGTTCCCTCGACAGTGGGTGAAGAAAACAATGACAAAGTGCATGAGGAAGAGGATAATTGTGGTGTTGCGCCTGAAGCAATAATCACAACAATACAGAAGTAACAGACAACAATTAATAGTAAAAACTGCAAGAAAAATAAAGCACATCAAGATTTACGTGAAAAATCTTTCAATGTAGAGAAAAAAAATCACGGACCTTCAAAAAATCTTCACTATCAAATAATAGGTATACAAAATTTTTTTCTAGTTAAAATTAGAGCTAATCAACAATTACAGAAATAATCGGAGAAATCTCATCAAATAAGTGATTCAACAAATACACCTTGAATTTATTTTTAAAGAGCTTTAAATTTGATTTTCACTGTTTAAAATGTAAAATTTTGAATCATAAATCTTCTGATAAGATTTCAATTCAATCGAATTACGAATCAATTTTCGTTTAATCAACTCTCTTTTCTTTTTTTTTCTTTGTTTTTCTTAGTTTTTTTTTTATTCTCTACTTGATTTTCAACACAAACTTAAAATAATCTCACCTCTATTTTATTAAGTAGTTAAAGTTCTGTATAAAATAAAAGATCAAGGCTTATGACCTTTACTTAGTTCAAAATCACTTACATGAGATTAGACCCATTTTCCTAACACATGGAGCGATACCTTCTGATCACGAGGCCTCTTCAGAATCAGTAGCTGGAAACGTTGCAACCCAAGAAAAGGAAGTGCTGTTTGAGGAGAAGAAAGAACCGCAACAGCCAGTAGAAACTGAAGAGAAAGAAGAAATTAAGCTGGAGACTGAGAAGTCCAGGAACAAGAATGCATGAATAGTGAGGACATAACAACTGACATGCCTCCTGAGACTGCGAAGGAGAGGGTTCTCGTTGAGACAGATGCTTATTCAGAACCAAATATAGAGAAAGATTTGTTACCTGCACCTCCTGCTGGAAGCCAGATGCCTAATGATGAGCATGACTTAGCTAAGATTGGAGGGGAAAACAAGCTAATTGAAGAGTACAAGAAATTGAGGGAGATGATGGAGAAACTCATGGAAGCTGGAAAAGATCAACTTACAGTTATATCCAACCTAACTGGAAGACTGAAAGAGCTGGAGGAAAAGGTGTCAAGGAACAAAAAGTTGAGCAAACCACGGTACAGAAAAGCAAGATATGCACCGTCTTATTCCATGCATGTGAGAGCCCGAGGGAGGGCCGCTGAAGTTGCAATGTGAGACCTTTGGACTTGTCCTCTCCATAAATCTGATATCTGGATGCTATGTCAAGTAGGATTGAGTTGCATAGTATCAGAATGAGTATGATGGTGTGCTTATATGATGAAATCAATAATATGGTTGAACATTTTTTCCCTTTTCTTTTGGAATAAAAAAAACTTATTGTGAATTAATATTTGTTGATTTTGTTGAGAATTTTTTTGTATGGCATCTTCTTTTTTCTCTGTCAAAGACATGTTTAGATTAAAAGGCAAAATTCTTTTTGCATTAAACATTTTACCTTTTAAACAAACTGAAAATACAGGAAACACTAGACACTGGCCAAGGCGCCAGGCCAACGAACTACGCAAACACAATATTACAGTTTACACTTACAAATAACCGACTTTAACTAACTTTCCCTCTAATTCCATGGCCGTTTCCTTTCCTCTGCTCGATCTCTATATTTGTCGGGGTATTCTCAGCGGCGACACCCTTACCTTCAATATCTCATTCTCGGAAACCTCCCATATTGTTTCCTTTCTTGATCAAATCCTAAACGCAGGAAACGAAAAGAAAACAAGAAAATGAGAAAGAAAGATTGAAAAAGAGAAGAGCGAGGCTGCGATGGAGAACAGTTAGGTGTTGGAGATAACCTTAATATCCTCGCAAGGAATTAAGGAACCATCCGGTAAACTCCGCCACATGCAAACCTACGCCCTCGCTTGGATCGGTTCATCCGTCAAGCTCCTTACTTGCGTTGATCGTGTCGGCGGCGAAAACCCTACCTGGAATGACAAATTCCTATTCAAGTTTTCATCAGATTTTCTTTCCAGTGAAACGTCCAGCGTATCAGTTGAAATCTTCGACGTCGCTGTCCTCCGCGATATCCTCCTTGGCACGGTCCGGTTGCTCGTCAGTAATTTTCTTCGATCTGGTTCTGCCTTCAACGCTGTAAATACTCCTCCTTCCAATGCAGTTGAAGTCCACCGACCTTCCAATAGGTTCCACGGGGGATCTCAACGTTGGTGTTGTTAAGAAAATGGGTCCAGCCTCGTGTAAATGATTTTGGACCAAGGTTATGGGCTTTGATCTTTCATTTTACAGAAAGTCTTAGCTACTTAATAAAATAGAGGTAGAATTATTTTAAGCGTGTGTCGAAAACCAAGTAGAGAAAGAAGAAAAACCAGAAAAAGCAGAGACAAAAAAGAGAAGGGAGAGTTGATTGAACGAAAGTCGATCCGTGGTTCGATTGAGTTGGAACCTTGTCAGGAGGTTTATGATTCAGAGTTCTACATTCTAAACGGTGAAGATCGGGTTTGAAGCTCTCTAGGAACAAATCTAGGGTGTATTTGTTGAGTCACTTATTTAGTGAAATTTCTCCAATTGTTTCTCTAGTTGTTATTAGCTCTAGTTTTAGCTAGAGCTAAAACTAGAGCTCTAGTTTTAGAAGATCGGGTTTAAAGCTCTCTAGGAACAAATTCAGGGTGTATTTGTTGAGTCACTTATTTGGTGAGATTTTTTCAATTGTTTCTCTAGTTGTTGATTAGCTCTAGTTTTAGCTAGTGAAGAACTTTGTATACCTATTATTTGATAGTGAAGATTTTTCTGGTGATCCGTGATTTTTTTCCTCTACATTGGAGGATTTTTCACATAAATCTTGGTGTGCTTTATTTTTTCTACGTTTTTTATTATTGATTGTTGTCTATTGCTTCTGTATTATTGTGATTATTGCTTCAGGTGCAACAAGTAATATCAGAGCGAGGGTTATTTTGAGACATCGATACAAAAGTAACCCAGGATAGAAGTAAATTATGTTTGAGATCATGGAGAGTGATACAGGTTCCATGATAAAATTGACAGCATCGAATTATTCAATTTAAAAGCCTATGATGGAGGATCATCTATACTGCAAAGATTTGTATGAGCCAGTATTAGGTGATTCGGTTAAACTAACAGATATAAAAGATGAAAGCTGAAAGAAGCTAGGTAGAAAGACGCTGGTTACAATCAGAAAATTAGTTGATATCAACGTGTTTCATTATATAGCGCAGGAGTTAGATGCTCACATTGTTTGGAAAAAATTGACAGCATTGTATGAGAGAAAAATATGTATGAATAAAGTTATGCTTGTTAAAAAGCTTGCAACTTTACAGTACAAGGATGGACGATCTGTTACAAAGCACTTGAGTGATTTTTAAGATATATTTAATCGGATGACTACTATAGAGCTTAAGATAGATGATGAAATGAAGGCATTATTTTTTTTGGGTTCATTGCTAGATAGCTGAAATACTCTAGTTGTGACTGTTCTTAATTCAACTCCTGATTATAAGGTGACATTGAAGATGATAAAGGACAGTATGTTTAATGAAGAAGCAAGGTGAAAAGATGTAGATCCTGGGAATCAAGCTTTGGTCACAGAGAATAGAGGTAGAAACATCGACAGAGGTCAAGACTCAAAAGATCGTGGTAAGTTTAAACATAGATCCAAGTCTAGAGGTAAAGTGAAGTGTTTTTATTGTGGTAAGGCAGGTCATATAAAATGAAACTGTAAAATCTTGAAGCAAAAACGAAAAGATGAGAAAGGTAAGAGTTCAGATGATGGTAATGTTGCAGCAATAAATTTAGATAGTGATTCAATTACTTTGATTTGTACACATGGTGATTGTAATCTGTTAATGATCTCGGTATTGAATGGATAGTTGACATAAGAGCGACGTATCATTGTGTTCCTAAGATAAAGTTGTTTTCAACTTACAAAGTAAGAGACTTTGATTGTACTAAGATGAGAAACAAGAATGTGTCGTAGATTATTGGGATTGGTGATATTATTGTACAAACTAGTACAAGCTACATGTTAACTTTGAGGGATGTCAGACACATTTCAGATATGAGAATGAACTTGCTTGCTATTAATGTCTTTGATGAGGAAGATATGAAAGTCGATAAAAGAATGGACAGTGAAAGCTTCTCAGAGGATCTATGGTAGTTGCAAAGAAAAAACTATGCTGCATAATGTATAAGACATGGATGCAATTGAATAGTAATCAGATAAATACCGTTGAAAATGATGCTTCAATAAACTTGTGGCACAGGAGGCTGGCACACATGAGTGAAAAAAGGTTACAAGTTTTGGAAAGACAGTCTCTCATTCCCTTGACCAAAGGTATGTCTCTCGATTCATGTAATTATTATTTGTTTGATAAGCATCATAAAGTTTCTTTTCGTAAAAGTTCTCAGAGAAAAGAAAATAGATTGAAATTAATTTATTCTAACGTATGTGGTCTCATTGAGGTTGAGTCATTAGGTGGTAGCAGATATTTTGTTACTTTTATTGATGATGCTTCACGTAAGACTTGGGTGTATATATTGAAATACAAAAGTCAGATACTGCAGTATTTTCAAAAATTTTATTTCATGGTTGAAAGGATAACAGGGTTACCCTTGAAAGTATATTCGAACTGATAATAGTGGGGAATACACATCTAAAGGCTTTGAAGAGTATTGCTCAAAGCATGGGATTAGGCATGAGAGGACAAAACCTGAAATACCGTAGCATAATGGTATAACTGAAAGAATGAATCGCACCATTGTAAAAAAAGTCATATGTATATTGAGGATGGTAAAATTACCAAAGTCATTCTAGGGTGAAGCAGTCAACACGACTTATTATTTACCATCAGTTTCTTTGGGCTTTGACATTTCAGAAATAATGTGGACAGGGAAAGATACTTCATACTCTCACTTGAAAGTTTTTGGGTGTAAAGCATTCATGCATGTGCCGAAAGAGCAGAGGTCAAAGCTTGACAATAAAGCTACACAATGTGTGTTTGTAGGATATGGTGATGAGGAATTTGGCTACAGGGTATGGGATCCAGTAAAGAGAAAGACAGTCAGAAGCAGAAATGCGATCTTTCATGAAAAAGAAACCATAGCAGACCTTGAGAAAAATGAGAAGACTACATGGGTTACTGGTGAGTATGATGTTTCAACACCGATAGGGATTCCACAAGAAAGAGCCACAGATGGTGAAAACGAGCAAGAAACAGAACTTGAGAATATGAATGAGCCAGCCACAATTGGTGATGAGCCAGATGCAATTAGTTTTGAGCAGAGAGGCAATCTTCTCTTTCTGAAAGTATTGAACAAAGGTAGCTACCTTTGGCATTAAGTGATGTAGAGTCTCAGCCCAGGAGATCTACTAGAGAGCGTAAGTCATCTACCAGGTATCCAAGTTCAGATTTTATTTTAATTACCAGTGAAAGAGAGCCAGAAAGCTTTTAAAATGTGTAGGTTACTCCGGATAGAAAGCACTGGTTAAAAATAATGAAAGAAGAGATTGAGTCATTACGAAAGAATGGTACTTATGATCTTGTTAAACTTTCAACAGGAAAAAGGCCATTAAAGAATAAATAGGTGTTCAAGTTGAAAAAAGATGATGACAAACTAGTGAGGTATAAAGCTCGATTGGTAGTAAAAGGTTTTTCTCAGAAACTAGACATCTATTTTGATAAGATTTTTGCTCCAGTAGTAAATATGAGTTCTATTCGAGTGGTATTGGGATTAGCAGCTAGTTTGAATCTTGAGCTTGAGTAACTTGATGATAAAACTGTATTTTTACATGGTGATTTATAAGAAAACATTTATATGAATCAGTCTGAGGGTTTTGAAGTGAAAGAGAAAGAGCACTTAGTTTGCAAATTAAAAAAAAACTTGTATGGTTTGAAACAAGCTTCGCGATAGTGGTACAAAAAGTTTGATTCTTTTATTGTGAGTCTTAGCTTTAAAAGAACAGCAGTAAATTCTTGTGTGTATGTTAAACAATTCTCTAATGGTAACTTCATTTTCCTATTATTATATATTGATGATAAGTTGATTGTAGGACAATATGCTAGTATGATTTACAAGTTGAAAGAATAATTATCTAAGTCCTTTGATATGAAGGATTTAAGTCCAACAAAACAGATTCTTGGTATGGATAGTATCTGAGATAGGAGAGCTGAAAGCTGTGGTTATCACAGAAAAAGTATGTTGAACGAGTGCTTGGTAGATTC